TTATACCCTTCTTGAGGCCTGATTTGGCAGAAAGTTATGGCTCGTGTGCTTGCAGTTGAGCAAGCTAGGTTTCATGAACCATATCTATGGTGTTGATAGCGAGCTGGACATCGTCATGGGTTTCATGCCAGCAAGTCGAAACTATTTCTGAGGATTGAATAGGGCACGTAATCCGATACTCGTGCAGCGGTGAAACTGGGCGCAGTGAGCGCCTTTTCATTGAAGATAGGCTAGACTGCCTACCGCCCGTTAGGTAGAGTTGTTTAGTCAGGGACTGCCGAGTCGATACGAAGTTTTTATTCAGAGTATTTTTATGCTCTCATTGGAAGTAGATTTCAGCACGTCATGAGCTAGGACCACACTTTTAGCGAAGGCTCGTTTAGCCATTTGATTTTGTGTACCGGAGAGAACCTCCGGTGCAAGTGTGCTCCGAAGTGCGGATACGGTTGTGCAGAGAGTAGAGTGGGGCTTCAAGCGCAGTGGTAAGCCGAGGTGAGGCCATGTTTGTGCTGCGTCTTAGAAATCTGAAACTTTGTTTGGTCTATATCGTAGCGTGGGGGGGAGTGGAATGAGCGAAGTTCTTGTTTTTTGTGTACTTAAGCCTAACACATTTGTGCAATTTTACGAAATTCAAATTGCGCTTTGGTGTGACTATTTTTAATCCTGAAAGAAGGGTACTTGTGATTAGCCGCACGTCAAAGAATAGAGTTTAATTATCAGAGAAAGTAAGCGAATGTATTTTAGTATCAGTCTAACTCGACATTTCTACACTTTTACTATAGCAGACCTTATTTAGATGAAGGTATTGCTTTCACTGCTGGCAAGAGCGCAAAGACTCAACCTTCACTGGGCTTGGTGACGAGCACTCTTTGGGTTAGCGCTTAATCTGTGCGAAGTGCTGTTACTTGTCGAGTCAGGGCTGGAAAAGTCGCTACAATGCTTCTCAACGCATCATACTTCGATTTTTTCGCCGCGATGACCGCGCTTTTCTCAGGGACTCGTTTAGCTATACAAGGTTATGTAGAGTTAAAGTAACGGCAAATTTGTCGCACCTGTATGAGAAGCATAATATACGCAAACTTATGTCCAGTATATATTATTGTACAAAGCGTAATCTGTCTACAAATTTACATTGATATTCTGTTGGTATAAAAATTTTCGAAAAGCGGTGCGAGGATTGTTTTAAGCATAAAAAATTAGAAAAACATTCTACCAAATATTGCTTTTGGAAGTTTTTTTTATCAAGTCTGTGTAATCTTGACATTTCAATATCAAGTAGAGTCATTTTTCTCATTTTTCTCACATTCCTTTTGTAATAAAGAACAATGTGTGATTTGACTTAGGTGATAGATTGTAATCGCGATGCTTTCCTGCCTGCATTTAATTTTCCGCCTGAGTTTTATTGTAGCCCTTATACTGTCGCCAGCAGTCTTCAAACGCAGCCTGCTCCTTTCGCGTCTCGTCAATTCGATGCCAGTTTTGCTTGAGGGCCTTCTTGTACGCCGAGTACGTCTCACCACAGTGAGTTTCCACCTCACGAAGCCTTTTGCATTCATAACAACATAATCACCTTTATTTCAGATAATGTAAACATCACTACGTACGTTTTGAGCACAGCGGCCGTGACCTTCTCGCCTTGTACGAGGCAAGCGCGCGGGTTGGCATCGCGCTGCTTGCATCGCATAAATTCCAAATTGGCATCCGCGCATTCGTGGGCCAAGATTCGAGCGGCACACTTCAGGCTTGTGTTGTCCGTATCCGGCAGCTTAATAGTTGTACGCTCGGTCATGGCTACTGTTGAGCTGGGTACTCTAGCTCCAAAAACGAGAGGCTTAGCTAAGTTTGTGTGAAAACATAGTAAATTGGTGTAGTTAACATAGGGTTAAGCATCTATGTAAGTAAAGTTCATCTTAGTGCTGCTGCTCAAAATCCCACTGCTGACGCACACTTGTGTTGCCTTCCTCATTTAATCTTTCTTCAGCTTCCAAGACCTCTTCCAATTTGACACGCTTCATGTGTGGTTGGTCGCGCTCCTTGTCACTATCCTGTACCATCCGTGCTTCGGTAAGCTAAAATCTAACGAAAGGAAAGTTGGCTCCGATCTAATGGATACAATAACGTACTAGTTCACCAAGCAGAACAATGTTACCACCACTACGCAAACGCAAATCAAACGTGTTATATCAATAGAGATAACTTTAGCTGATAAAATGCCACAGTACCGAATGATATTTAAGCCTAGCTCGATATCACAAAATAGCCCTCCAGCAACATGGCGCTCATATGTGTCTTCTAGAATGATGTTTGCTGCAGATACACAAATATGCAGATACACAAATACAAAGCCATCCATCCATGCCACAAATAATCAACCTCTGAAGATTATTTGCCAAATACGGTAGTAAGCAACGCACAAAACTGGTCGAAACTTCGAAGGTTTCCAACGAGGTGGCGGCCGTCGCGCAATACCATAAGTACTTGTTCTGTCCAACGTTGATCAATTCGGTTAGCATCAAGCTATATCGCTCCTATGGCGATTTATCAGGATTTAAGAATAAATAGCTTTGGATTACGCACTATCTAGCTGTTGAATGAGGCTACTGTTGCCGGGAAAGATGCCGCTCATGTTTCTTGCGTTATCTGTTAAATTATAAAGCTGATTGGTTTAAACTCCTCTGAAATTACTATAAGAGGAATATTTCCAATTAATTGTAATAAGCATGTTTGTCTCGCGGGTTCTGCGGATGGCGGTGACAAAGACATCGACCGGTCTGGTTGGTCTCAAAGTTAATCCAAATGCCCGTCAGGATCTTATCAAGATTTATCGCCGAACGCTTGAGGAAGTAAAGGTGTGATAAGTTAGGAATAAACTAAAAGTGCAAGTGAATATCAAAGCTGATCATATCGCTATTTTTCTGTAGGTGCTGCCTCCTGAGGCCAAGAACTACCGCAACGCCGTTGAACAAATTACCAATTTTCGTCTTAGTGTGGTGGAAAATAATGAAGATGTACGAATCAAAAGTGTATAGCTCGTGCTGTCATCATGAGGGCTGATAAGTTGGTGATTAATGACATAGGAAGACGTTATTGAGCGCAAGATCAACTGCGGTCAGCTGGAAGAGCTTATTGAGCAAGCCGAAGACGAGTTGACTGTAATTCCCGTGTACCTTGGTACGTAACATGCTTGTTTCACGAATGCTATGCACTTATGTGTGTATCACTTGCAGAGCACAAATTGTGGGAGAGTCCTCTTGAAGCCAAGCAGTAAACGGACATTGTTTAACTTGCCATACTCGCATTCGTAATCGCTGAAATACACAGCTTGTCAAAGCATTTAAAAAAAGAGACCACTGCATAAGTACAATGTGCCTTTAGGTCACAATGAGTCTATATATTTGATTATCGGCTAAAGACTAATTGCGGATCTTGCGACTGCGAGACAAATTAGCCTTGATACCAGTGGATTCGCCTCCATACTTACTAGCCTCACCAACGCGCACGTCCCGTACCTGGCCCTTCCGTCGAATAATAGCCTTGCGGTATTGCATCCGTTTCTTCACACGTGGATTGCGGTTTAACTTACTCTTGTGAGCCTTCAGACCCTTGTTCTTCATAATCTGGTACGATGCACCACGTTTGGCACCCTCACCATCCGAGACATTGTCTTCGTCGCTTGACAATAACTCTGATGGGTTTTCGTGTGTGTACAGCTCCTTCTTAGCCTTTTTAAGCATCGCATGATCTTGTTCAGTCTGTTTGTAAAATCGTTCCGCCTCCGCAAGCTCATCAATTGATACATCAATCGACTTTTTCTGCAGTCTTGAATGATTTGCCAAATTGTTTGCACCATTGCCGCCGCGCTTGATTGTCGACGTGGCAGAGAACTTGTTAAGTCCGTCGTTAAGTTTTGGCTCCCGTTCCGCAGCAGGCAACTCTTTTGTGAGTAGATCCTGTAACTGGCCATCCATTATCTCATTTATTGACTGAAGCTTATTGAGCTGTTTTTTTATCAACAGCAGATGCATAAGTACTGGGTGGTCGGCCACGCTTTTTCCTTCAGCACGTAGTAAAAGGTAAAAGGAAATGTTGGTTGAGTAGTTCAGCAAAAGATTCTGACGAGTCATTAAATATCGTAAACCCATTTGCAGTTGGTGAGATTTTCGACGTACAGGTCGTAATTTAACCACTGCCGGTGTCACCACTTCCTCTAACTCTTTTGTAGATGATTCCAGTTCTGCTAATAAGCCCAGCAGCTCCGGCGCCGAATTATTGACAATTTCAAGCTTGTCTTTCTTAGTCATTTTGGAAAAGTCCTTCGGGACTTGTTCTATAGTTTCGACACCACCAATACCATTGTCAGCAACTTGAGCTATATCAGCAAGTTGTGCTTTAACCAGATCTTCGTCATCAACAGGTATTTCGTTGTTATCTTCTTCTTCTTCCCCCTCCACATCTTCATCAGCTTCAGGTCCATCGATCCCAAAATCCTCATCGTCCATCATCTCTGCCTGCTTGCGTTGCAGCTCAAGTGCAGCATCTTCTTCATCCTGAGCAATCTCCTCGTCCGATTCAAGCTCATACTCTGCCGTGTCGGCTGAGTAAAATGTTTTGCGCTTTTTGCCCCACTTACCCTCTAGTTCAATCGCTTTCTTACGCTCAGCGTCCGCATCAAACGTATTATCGTCATCTCCATCCATATCAACGTCATCTTCATCATCTTCTTCGTCGTCATTCTCGTCAGCACCAAGTTCCAGCACTTCTTCACCTGCCAGTTCATCATCCTCAGACTCGATCCGTTCGCAATTGCTTTCATTTTCTGATGGATCGTCATAGAATGTCAGCTCTGCTTCCTTATGCGATTGTTGTGCTTCCTTAAGTTGCCTTTTACGCAAACGCACTTCCGCACCACCATCACCTGTGCGAGACTTGTGCCTCGCCTTACGCCCCATTATAATATTGCTGATACGTAAATGGTTGGTCTTAAAAAAGTATTAACATTTTAATAAACTTAGTACATAGGTCATAATAATTGAAATGCGAGCTAAAGTATCTCGAGTGGCGATGCGAGTAGCGACGTACTGCGGACGGCACAATAGTGGCGGTATTGAAGTCAAAGGCTCAAGTTCTTTGTTATTCTACCCGCGTCATGTAGCAGCAGAGTGTTTGACACTTCATCGAGCGTTTGCGTCCGCTGCCAGTGTCGAAGCTGCGCGCAAGTTTGCTTGGGCCGAGACCGACATTGCGCCTCCATCTCCAGGCCGCGGTATTATAGGGCGCTCTTCTAACGTTGATGTGACCAAAAGCGAGAATCCTATTCAACGTTGGCACTGGCTATGGAAGATGCTGGGGTTTCTTAACGAAGATGACCGTTTGTTCCGCAACTCAACCGCCGTGTTCCAGAGCTGCATGAACTACACAGCTAGACCAGAATATTATAGTGAACTTGGAATTTCAAAATCCTTTCGTGCGCAGCAAGCACTTTTGATGGTACATGTGTGGCTAGTGCACCGTCGCTTGGCACTAGAAGGCGAGCAGGGTAAAGTTATGCAGGAGCTTTTATTTGATCGTTTGTGGGAGGAAACAGTGGTACGCATTCGCTACCTGAATATCTCGGAGCTTTCAGTGAATAAATATCTCGCTCAGGTTCAGCAAATTGGCTTTAACTCCTGCATCGCATATGACAAAGGATTGAAAAATGGCCCTAACGTTCTTCAGACTGCTGTGGCTCAGCACCTCCTTGATAATGAAACACCCGAAGGTTTACGTATCGCCAGCATCATGGCTGAGTACATGAAACGAGAATTAAAGAACTTAGAAAAAGTCGATGCCGAATATATTATGAAAGGCACCATTCCGTGGAGCTCATTGCCTCAAACTCACGTGAAAAATAGACCCGAAGATGATGACGATGTGGTGCTTATTGGACAACGCTTTGGTAATTGGCGCTCGGCACTGGACAATCGGGGCAAACTATACTATTGGAATTTGACCACGCGATACTCTGTTTGGAGCAGACCGACGGGTGATATGCTTCACGAAGGTGAGGAGATTAAGTAAATGTGATGGCATCAGATACTTTAAAGGAATGTTAAGCATAAAAGATCAAAGTCTATACAGTTGTTTTCAAAAGCTCTCTATACAATCAACTCAAAGCTTGATCGTTATTCGCGACCAGTACTGCGCCTTTGTTGTGCTTGACGCATTAATTTGCCGAAGTTATCTAACCTTCTCCTCGGCTGCAACGCGGTCGCGTCTTTCTTGCATTTTTCGCCTCACATAAGCATCCGATGCCTTAGCATGCCTTAAGTTTTCCGAGCGTATGCGAATCTTTTCCTTTTTAAAACATTGATCTAATGCCGATTTAACATCATTACAAGCGCCGAAAAATTTTGCGTACGGATTGTCGTTGTGGCAATCAAGCAATGCCTTGATCTCCTGCTCCATCAATTGGTCATTAGAGCCATTTAGACAAAATGCAGCCGCAAATTATGTACAAATAAATCAGAGTGCGTACAATCTGACAATCAGGATGTGGGCGGTCTAGTGGTGCGTGCATGTGCGTAGACTTTTACCTGGTCAAAGGCGCCCGGCAATGTAGCCGCTGTAAATTTATTATCAAACAAAGATGAATGCAAATAGAAGCCGGTCTTGTATTTGACAACACTTACAACGTCAACATGAAATTTCTTTGGGCTGCTAAATTTTCTACCCATAATTGTCGTGGTGCAGCACGACGTACTATTGTGCAATCGATTAAGCTCACAGTTGCTGCTGGATTCTCACACCCAACGACAATTTATTTTAGCTAGAAGCGAGTTTTTGCTAGCAGTGTACTCAAGTCAATCCAGGTGCAAATAGGCTGTCTTCGAATACTTTAAAAAACAACATCGACAGCATCTTGGTACGGAGTCGACCGCCAGGTACAATATACCGACCCGGCTTAGTACATGCGTTGTACTTAAGCCGGGTCAGTATATTGTGGTGACGGAAGCGCATTCGCGTTGCCTCGACTACGACTTGATTTTTTTCTATGACCTTGGATCATAATTAGCGTTTATCCATAGCATTAGAAGAAACCCGATCAATCCACCCAACCAGTAACTTCAGATAAACCTACGCCTTGGGTCAATTAGCAACCTATATTAGTGATTAAAAGGTCTTCTCTTCATTCAAGAGAATCGCTTTTCATCTGTTGCAATTATAGCAAACACTACTGTGATACGCGTTTATTCGAAGCTGACGGAATTCAGTTTACGACATGATGTTAACCAGTAGAACTGGCCGATATTTCTCCGGAATGCTGGATAAATTGCAGCTTATCAATTGGGACGAGTAAACGTGTTCGTAATCTGTTGGCAACATTAAGAAGTTACATTTGTCTAGCACCACGACCAAGCAATGCTTAGTCAGAACGAACCGTAAGATTCGCTAGCAGACTTTATCTACATTATGATCTGCGTGTTCGGTGCTACAAACCTTATACATCCTAAGCAGTGCAGCAGGGTCTCTGTAATGGAGCCGACGCGTGATCAATTTAGTACCGTGTGGTGGTTTCTGTTTTTGTCCGAAAGCTTTTAAAGGCATCTAGTGTAAATCCATTGCGCATAACAAGTAGTGAAGAGGTATCAGTCACTATCTTGAAGTCACTGCTGATGTAGCTAGGCGTTTCGTATGACAACACAACTTTCGGGGTGTTGCGGGGACAACGCTCCACACTTGCTTCGGAACACGCTGAGTTGCAAGGCCTGCAACGTTGCCGCTACAATCGTTGACAAACTTAGTTATATTCTGTATAAATACAGACTGCCTGGCAAGTGGTTCATTATGAAATAACACGAAATTGGTACCAAGACAAACTCCTCTTGAGACGATCATGGGGTTTTATGCGCTGTAGTAACAAGTCTTGTAAAAGCTTCAGTAGATCTATAGGTTCCGAAGCAATTTTCGGTGCTCCTTCCATATAGGAATCTTTGACTCGTCCAACTCGCGTCCACCGGAACACAGAGGATGTTACGGTTATGAAATATATTATGATTTAGGCTTAAATATCTCGCGCCATCGCACTGCCGTGTTGGTAGCACTTGTAGTCAACTGATGACCAATACGAGGCCGCAACCTCTGTGAAGATGGCACGCGAGTTGTCAGTAGAATTCATTCGAAACACCCATGTCTACAGTTGAGCATAAACGGTTAAGGCGATTTGGATCTAAAGACCGCGGGTGATCACCTTACGCAGTACCCGGCCACTAGAATGCGCTCATAATAAACCTTTGGTCGGCCACAACTGGTCATTGGCAAAAGCCAAATGGGCGTCCATCAAGAAGCCACTAAATTTAAGAATCCAGCCGACCGACGTGATCAGTTCTCTCCGAAATAGGGTTGATCTGGCAATAAACTCCTGACAGAGTCACCTTGCGTCGGTCTACTATTTCCCAGCTAAATGGTCGCGCGCGATAAAAAAGGGCAATTGCGCGTAGTGCCAGGAATTACCGCCATTGCACGTGTCGGAGTGACCGGAGCCCGTGCTGCAATGCGCGACATCACCAGTGACCATGTGACAATAGCAATCTAATCGACGTAAAACATTTGCGATCAGGCTTACATTTTCATAAAAAGATAATCTAAGTTCTCGGCAAGGGTGACGCATAGAGTAATGAATAATGATCTGTATAAATACCAAATAAATTCAAGCTGTGCGTGCGTGCGAGCTATATATAAACTTGACGATAGCATACTTTCTTGCAGGTAGCTCCTTCTTTCTGAAATTGATATTTTTCAAATGCCGCTTTTAGTGTGCGAGATTGAAATATAACAAAGCGTTCAGGATTATTAATATCATTTTGAAGTCAAAGGCAGATTAATTCAAGGGCCGGAGCAACTGTTTCAAGTATCAGAGAAGACCCAAAGTATCCAAATTAAATCCATCCCAAAGCCATAAAGACCAAGTTTTTAGCTGCATCGCCATTCGTCCAAAATTTTGATGAGATACCTTGCCATATATGCATTCGATACCTGATGCCAATCGACATTCGTCCAAAATGTTGATGAGATACCTTGCCATATATGCATTCTAGAGAAACGTCAACACATAAGTTCTAGCTTCACTTAAGACGGAGTCTGATTTTGATCAGGTTGCCGTGTTGACGTACGTATCACTAGGTACAAATATAATGAGATTCCGCGAGTGTCTACAGAGAAAGCTTTGCAATTTACAGTTCGCATTAAGTAACGGACGGAGATTTGTTCACTGCCGACCAGTCTGGGATCATCCCAAGAGCATCGTGAGAAACTATTACATCTCTATTCAACTTTTTATGTGATATTTTGTATAAAGGTCAGTTCCAAATGATATACACTTTTTTGTTTAGTATCTATAATTTTTGAACCTTAATATAGATAGAGCAATCCTAGTTGTCCATGTGTTACACGGACTCCTCCTATACATAGTATCACTACAAGTGTCTGTACCGAGTTCTTATTATGTCATTTCCTCATTTGCACTCTTGAGCTTCTCATCCAGTCTGGGGATTAACACATTAAACACGTCACAGACACCAACATAGCGTATGCAGCGATAAACATAACTTCTGAAAACTCCAATTTAACACTTTGGTCTCCGACCTAATGGTGCATATCCGTGGAAATCACGGGCTGCAACCGCCGTGCTTTCCAAGCTTTGCTTAAGATAAAATCATATCTTATAATGAAGTCATGTTCTTCATTATTAAATGTTACAACTTTATATTTAGTCATTTAAAACCTTTTGACAGCGATGTCGGTGATCTTTTATGGGCTATACCTAACCTCTAAGGGGAAATCGCTTCATTGAGGGCTGCGACCCATTGATATCGATCTCCACGAGGTACAAATGAGCTCATGTCTTTTCAAATATTTGTTCTAGCACTGACCTCACGTATTCGTTGTCCCAAGGTTTGCGATAGACATACTCCTACGAGTGGTCTGTCGATCAGTCTCCGGAAATCTTTGTATATCCTAACTGGCGGAGAAGAGGATGCGCTGGTCATGTCTGGTATGAAATCTAAAGAACATTTGAGGTTGCTTAGGGGTCACGATATCACATTTCTCACGAGCAGCCTGATTGGGATCATCCGCCCTCGACGCGCTTTAAGTGCGTCCTCACCCGCGCTCCGAAAAACCGGAAGTTGTATTGCAAATTTAATGCAGCAGATATCGCTTCTTTAAAAATGGCAGGGTGGATGCACAAGATGTTGGCACGATTTGCATCTTTCAGATCGTTAAAGCTCACGTTTTCGAAAGCGGCATCCCGGCTCAGGAAGTTCCACTACCTGCGCAAGGTTCGTCAAAATCTGAATGCTTAGTGGGCCAACAACGATTTGATTGCGCGCCGTGAGTCCAGTTAGGCGGTGCAAACACTCGTAACAACTTTCACGAGAGAATCTTCCGTGACGCGAATGCTTCATTACCGATGTACCGCACATCTCTTTTTATCAAGCGCAGCCTTCTAGCTTGAACTTCAGTATCATGATGCGCTGTTACTCCTTTCGGTTAAGGACTGATATCGACCTCTTTGTTCGAGGTGAATTTTTTGCGTCTCTGTCATCAATGGTATAGGAGCTATGAAACATCACTCTATTGAACAGTGTGGGAGCACATTCGGTCCCCACATATGTACGGCCATCACTAATTTTCCAGGCAAAAAATAATCACTGGGGTATTGGACCGCTGATTTTGCTATCTCTTCGCGATAAGCTAAGAGAGGTTAGAGTGCCTTTTTGCCCCGAAGATATATTATTTGACATATAATATACTAGAATTACAGTCTCAATCAGACACAGTCGTCGTATTGATGAGCGATGGCCAGGTGCAGCTGATTTGTCGTAGACCTTGCACAATGGGAGCTTTACTCATTAGTGTTTAAAGCTAGCTAATGCATCGACAGCCTCTCCAAATATCAAGGAATGTCATTTATCAGGTTCCATAAGTAAAAAAATATGCCTAGCGTGAAATGATGCCCAAGATATAGGTCATTTTAACAATCGAATGAAATTTGAAGTTCTATGCAACGCTAGCGCGAGGTAAGAAGCTCATGTATCCAAATGATTATCTTATTTCTGAGTTTTGGAATTTCTTATGTATCGAATGCTGATCACGATGCCTCATCTTATAATTGAGATGTTCCGCTTTGAGCACCAGGACTCTGCTATAAACGTAAGGGCAATAGATAGTACGCTTTGGTCTGGATGTGTACCACGTTACTTTAATGACATGTGCTAATGTGTTCTTTCTACGGGAAGCCACCTGAATTAGTCGTGAGCATCATACCAACCGTCTCGTTGAAGAAATTTAAACGAGTAAATACGCAGTGTTTTGAGATTTTGCCATCACGTGCGCTACAGGTTGATCGACGATAGGCTCTTCGTGAATGTCACTGATCCCAGCAGTTGATGCGAGAGTGTTTTGCACGAGCGCAAACGAACATGACACATCTTGTTAAATGTATTCGGCTCCGGAACTCATCCCGGTCAATGCTTTTAAAGCAACAACCCTTAAAATTGATCATAGTGAGTCCGAATGCGATACAGAAACATAAGTCAAAGATAATTGTAACTAAAGATGATGTCTACATAATTGGTTAGGGTTTCGGTAGCCGTCGTGCACTACAGACTATTTGAACACATTTTTGGTCATACTACTTGACAATAACGGATATAAAGGAACACACAATATAATAGGAGAGCTTCTATAAAAACTATACGAGTCGGACAGGTACAAGAGATACAACGTTTTTGCGCGGTATAAAGATCGGACATCATGATCGTGACCCTAGAGGGCTTGCATATTGGTGGGGGAGTAACAATACATAAACTTGTATCTCCTCTGATAACGAAGCTACAGATTACATAGGCGACGTACACTCGAAAGAGATGAGAATTCCGAGAATTGTAAAGGATAACTCATGGAAATTTAAGTTCGCGCTACGGATCGCGCCTTCATCAAATACAACGATGCAGAAAAGCTTGCTTGTTCAGCGGCTCTCGATTCGGCACCTGGATTGTACGCACAGATCCATTCCGTTTGCGTCAGCTAACGTATGTAAGAGAATTAGGCTTCTTGTATGTAGAGGTCTGCAAACCCGTTGTACCCGGAAGCAATCGTTCATCAAAACGACGATAGAGTCGGAATAAAACTTCATCCTGAGTTAAGAATGAATATGATATGTTTGCCTATCTGTTTCCGATACAAAAATCATATTGATTACATTCCTGCTACTAGTAGGTCTTGAAAAATAGCGCAATTGGCGGTCCAATACTCAGAGGCGAGTGCCGCTCAGCTGAAATGACAGCCGTTTACAAGCAATTGAGATGCACTAATTAGACGCTTCTAGAAACGTTAGAGTCAGTCATTGTTAGAGTAGAACAGACTACCGCAAAGCACAATTAAAGAGTCCAGTTTTAAAAAGCTCTACGCTCTTTAAAAGCAAAACACGAACAATTTTAAAACTTGGGAACAGATGCTTAGCATGTCATGAACCGAGCGCTAAGCATCCCGATCAATAGCGTGTCGCACTGCCGATCTCCACATCAAGAGGTTCCTGGCGAGAATTGGCATTAATGTGCAGTTCCTCTGAAAGGGGTCCGTCATCAAGGATACTCAAAGGGTATCGAGTGTGAGGTGAGGAATAGCCATCGTCAACCATCTTTCAAGACATTTTACTTAATGATGAAAGAATATCACAACGTGTAGACGAAAGAACCATCACGATAGTTTTCCTTAACCAGCCAAATTTCAAGGTAAAGTAACATCACTGGCCTTCTTCAAAGGAACCAGGTAAAGTCATATTCATTTACTTTATAGAAAAAGCATGAAGCAATTTGCTCGTTAGGGTCGATCACCACTGATTATATTTTATGTAATGAGGTTATACGTACCCTGCAATGATGCGGTAGGTCACACAAACTAATGTAACACACAATGATGTGGCTACACTCTAACAAGAAGCACTACGTGGCTGGACTGCCGATTAATGAGGAAACCTATAGACTTAGGTATAGGCGGCTTTGCCGCAAATAAAAAACTAAATACAATTACATTTTTTAGCGAAAGACTTTATTCGCCTTGGGCTAAGGTCGTTGTTACTCTTGAAGTAAGCGGATTGCGCTCCGCAACGCTTGTACTGGTTTTTGTATAGAACGTAAGGTCATCGACCTTAGCTTTGCTTCCTCTAGGCGTAAAAGCTACGCCTAGATTATCTCGACTTATCCTCTGTGACGAAAAAGCAGTTCATATATTTTCCCGGGGCATGCAAGACGGGCTTAAGAGGCTGGTGTATCTGCTTGGTCCTAAGGGCGTACAAACATCTTGTTTCGCAAAGACCTGAAGTGATCAGCGCGCCCCTAGATGCGTTTCTGAGATATGAAATAGCTTTACAAGAGCACCTAGAGCAGGAGACTTCAGCATCGACTGCGTACGCGACGCAACCGTCGACGACGGATGACTCCTTCCGACCCAAGCCGCTCGTGATGAGCTTTAAGAGAGGGTAAAGATGGAGAGAATCTCCTGCTCTGGGTGAGAGAGGTCGAGATAATTATGGCGTATGCCATGCTCCAAACCGAGTACTAGCGCGTGGCGATAGCTATCACCAAGCTCGGGGCCGAGCGCGAGTACAGCACTCCGGTTGAAGCGGGGATCACCTTTCTGGACGATGCTGAAGCTGCAGGCATATCGCATGCGATTGCGTTTCCTTGCCGCCCGTTAGGGCAAGAATATATATTTGTGTATTTTGTCCGAGAGTTGCGTGGTCTCACAGATGATATGGCAACCAATCCTCTCCCCGAGGCGGCAACAGTGGCCGTCTTTATGGAGGGCCTCTGCGCTTGCGTGGGTAAAATGGAAGTCTTCCGTGTTCATCCGTCTTCCTTGGAAGAAGCAGTGAATGTGTATTGAATGCCGAATTCAAGTTTAAGTCGGCACCACTTGGTTGGAATGCACGCTTTAGTAGCTCATCGAGCGGACCTGAGCCAAAGGATCTCAGCTAAGCTGAGGAAGAGGAATCAGATCTTCGAGCTGCCGGGTAGCGCTCGATCAACCGACGGCGTTTTGTTTGTGCAGACCTCGTCACCTTCGGACTGGTTGTCCCTACACAAGGCGAGTCAAAGTTCATCTTACTGACGTTCCGCTTCTCACCAGTCGTCTGGTTTGTCGCGGGGCGTCCTACTAGGGAAGAATTGAGTTCTGTTAAACCTCAAAGAGGTAGAGGTCAGCAGACCCAGCTCCGAAAAGCTCCGTGCTCTTGCTGTACGCAAACCAGGTTTGCTGGCAGTGAAAACAACCATGAAAGGCTTTAAGAAGCCATGGAAGATCTCGACCGACACGGGGCGTCGGGCAATTATGCTCGAACGCTCCACGATCGAATGAAGTCATCTGTTTGCTGAGGCACTGAAAGCGCGGTTGAGTGACACCGTCAATGTTAGCTTAGCGACGGGGGCAGGTGCAGCGGTTCTAAGAATCCCTGTGGACCTCGGTGTTAAGATTCTTGACTGTGATAGAGTGAAACGCAGCTTAGCCTTAAACTTGGATTTAAAGTAAGACCACATCCTTGGTATGGCATGGTGGGAATACCTTGAGCCACGGATTGATTGGAGGTCGAAGATCTTGGGCGCTCCGCGCACGTCTCCTGGTGGGGCTGTGGTGAGTCATGAACCTATCTCTGCTGGAAGGCAGAACGCTATTGGCGCGGGCACTGGACCGAGACGGTTTACGTGTTGGAGATCGGGGTATCTGAGCGGTCGAGTACCGAAGGTGTATCGGACAGGAGTAGCATGGCTCGTAGCTGAACGTGGGGTGGCACGTAATTCGCGAAGCGCTGCTCAAATATCGAAGAAGTTGCTACATGCCCCGAGCGGCATGGTTGGACGAGGTCTGAGGCATCTTGGGCAAGGTCCATCAGATGCGCGTGGAGTGGCTCGTTATAAACTGGACAAAGACTGCGGGGCTAGCAGTCCTGTGTCGGATTTGGTTAATAACATAAACGCTTCGATGGAGCAGGAAATGGGCTAACACTCGACAGCGCTGAGTGCGTGTCCCCACTGGTCTTGCCAGGACATAAAACCTCTGTGGAGAGGCGATGGCGATGCTTTATAGCTGCAAGACGCCGGGCGTCGACCCTGGTCCAGGATGTGTTTACCGGAGACGATAGCGCACAGCTAGATATCCTCGTCAGCGGTTTGGCGGGAGAGGAAGACGGCGACATCATCCTCGAGGCTATTTCTGCGGTGGCTGCTCTTCTTGAGCCGGACAAGATAACCTTCGAGGAGTTCGGCAGTGCTTTGAAGGCAGGCGACTAATCCGAAATGATCATTATACGACCGGAAGAGGAGATCAACTCGTCGTCCCTTCTGGACGAAGCTGTCGTGGAGGACGCCAAGAGGGTGCTGAACGCACGAAGTGGATTATTAATCCTGAAGGACCCCCTCGATCCGTACTTTGCTTTGTTAAAGGAATTCCAAGACGTCGTCTCCAAAGACCCGCCTCGGTCCTACCTCCGGACCGAACTGTGCGTCATGAGATCGAACTGGTTCCGGGAACCAAATACTGCATACACGCCAATGGCCCCCTGCCCAAAAAGCAGTGTGACGTCATTGACGCCCAAAGCACGACGCAGGAATAGTGCGTGAGAACAAGTCACCCCATTTGACACCCACGTTTTGTATCTGGAAGCCGAACGGCAAGTGGTGTATCGCTCACGCTTACAATAAGCTAAACGATGCCACTATTCCAGCGCAGACGCCGATTCCTAGAAAGGATGTTCTTCGGAACAATATGGCTGGATGTACAAATTACAGGGCACTCGACTTGAGCGATGGGTATTACCTATTGCTCATGAGAGCGAGCGATATTCTGCTGATAGCGGTGAGTCCTCCAAAAAGGATGATCTGGGAGGGGCTGGCAATGCTCTAAGGGCTGGCAAGTGCACCAGCAACATCAAATAGTCTTGTTCAGGCTCCACCGGGTGTATGCACAGACATGCTTCAACGACATCTTTGTCCAGAGTCGTGCGAGGCACGGGAGGACAGATGAGGAGCCACATCGTTCATTTGAGACCGGTGCTCGAGTGCATGCGCACAAATAAGCTGTATGCTAATGCCTCTAAGTGCATTTTCGGAGCGGAAGAAATTACCTTGTTAAGGACTTCATTGGGAAGGTGGCCTTCGAGCGGATCTCGCTAGGGTCAAATCCATTGCGTACTGATCGGTTCCAAAGAACCAGTAGGACTTGCGCAAGTAGCTTGTCCTCGCCAAATAATTGCACAAATATGCGGAAATGGCACGGCCATTGTCTAATTTCTTTAAAAACGATTGGTATTGGTGTCGGAATACCGAGCATTGGGAGACTTTTGGCAGGAAAAAAGACAGCTTTCTTCATGCACCAATACTGGCGTTGCCAACTTCTGATCGTCCTTTCAGTGTTGTCTGTGACAGATTCGGACTTTGCCATTGACTGTGCCCTGCTGCAAGCAGACGCCGAGGTGCGAGATCGGGTGATCGCGTTCGATTTTTTCAACCTCAAGGCTGCAGAAGAACTACCCAAGACACAACAAGGAAATCCTTGCGACAAAAAATGCACTTGTCGAGTTCAATGTGCATTTGCTTGGCTTAAAGCCGTTTGTGATCTACACAGATCATGCGTTTCTACGCACTGCGACTCAGCCGTCTCAACTTTCGCAGAGGATAACCAGGTGGCTTTCCTTCTTCGCCGAATATAACTTCGAGGTAAAGTAAATGCCAGGAAAGCAGAATGTTTTGCCTGATGCGTTGTCGCACAGACCGGATCATGAGCTTGCTCATGTCACGATGGTTACATCGCCAGTGACGGATTTGATCCGCTTCCGCGGGTGATGATATGTGCGTAGCGCTGCTATGGACTCTCAGGAGCAAGAAATTTGGAAATTTAGACAAGAATTTGCCGTCGCGACAGCGCACAAGGTTGCAGCACCGATATTTATCTAATTTCAGATTGCTGTATTATAGCACCGATTTAACGGGTAAGCCACGAATTGTGGTATCTCACGATGAGGATTTAAAATACTGTATATCCTCAATGAGACCCACGACACCCCGCTCAGTGGTCATGACGGTCGTAAGAGGACGTGCAGTTCTGTGAGTTGCCATAACTGGTGGCTAAAGCTGTACAAATGGACGCGCACATATGTGTGCACGTGTGAGACGTGTTATGGGTAAAAATCTCTCCGAATGAGGTGGCACCGCTGGTCCATTTGCCAGTACCCTCGTGGTGTTAGCTGTCCTTGAGTTTGGACTTTGTATTCGGCCTGCCGAAGAACTCGGCGGACAACACAGGTGTTGCTATCTTCGTCAACCATTTGTGCAACGGATTTACACGTACCCTGGTATGAATGGGCGGGACGCACAAGATTGTATAGGTGTGATAGACCGACCGTCGATTCGCGCGCTTAGCCGCTTTGCGAGGAGCAGCCTCCAGTTGCTGCTTCATGGCTCGTCGAGGCGGTTGGTGATGATACTACTCCTACCGGAAATCGAGAGTTCGGGGAACGGACGCGGTATCCGCAAGGTTCGAATAGGGCTCACGTCGCGCCGCTGACGTACCTCGCCCTTCTCTTCTACTCATCCCGGGAAAGGAGTATTCAAATTGTTGTCGACTTCCTCCAAATCCTCGACGCGGTAACTCTTTTCCCATAGCGGGCGATGCGCGGTGCTCGGCTGCCGGGAACTTGGGATGCGTTTTCCCAAAAACCGTGGACGAGCTGTCCGAAGTTGCGTCGCGTGCATGAGACGAAGAAGGGTTCTGCCCGCGAGCGCTCTCGGAACCAGCGAGACTGTGTGTCTTTCGTGTCCGATACATAGGGCTTACTAAGCAGAATGCGTGCGAAAGGTGCTGGAGCCTCGTACGAGGCGATAGTTAAATGTGAATAGTGGGTTCTTACAATTTTGATGGGAGAGAGTGCACCGGGGGTTACACGTACCCTATTATAAGGGTTGGGTCGCACAAAATGGTGTGACCATACAAGGGTGTGAGTTACACAAGACGGTGTAACCACACAAAGGCTGCCTACACTTCAGCAAGAAGTCACTACGTGGCTGGACTGCCAGTAGCTATGTATATCAATTAGGTTTTACTAATTATTCATAAAAACCTTTAGATTTAGATATAGGCGGCTCTGCCGCAAATGAATCAAAGAAATACAGCTTACATATTGAGCAGAGGACTATATATGCCTTGTGTCAAGGTTCTGGTTACTCTTAGAGTAAGCGAATTGCGATCCGCAACACTCGTACTAGTTCTAGTATTGAACGTAAGGTCATCGACTTTAGCTTAGCCTCCTCTAAGCGATAGAGCTACGGCAGCCCCGCTGCACGCAAGGCAACGTATCAATTTATGTAAAAAAAATAGTAGGACAGTGGATACATGATGCGTATAATCAGTATCGGATATAAAGTGAAAAGACAAACCTTGAATGCGTGAGCTGTTGGAAGTCCAAGGCAGAATTATTTTATGTCGCTGGCACTTACGGCTTCTTACACCCACCTTCTTCAACTACTCATTGAATCCGAAAGGATCGCGCAGACCAGCCTGCTTCCTACTTGCGTTTGAGATACAGTGATTGCTGTACCAGGGGCTTTATGGGTTTGATCACGGCTGTTCACAGCAGAACCTTGAGTGATAAGCGTCTACTTGATGTGATACTGGTTCCTGTCACTATCGCTTGACATAAAACTTTGGTAATGTACTACATTCCATACGACACAGCCAATACAAAAGTGACTGGCGACGACGTGGATTATCCATGGTCGTTATAAGCACTCACATAATGCAGGACACGATTTTATATAGTATTACTTTTTAAACTTTAGTAGAAGCAACGATGTACGACAGTGCTACCCATTTTCGTTTTGCGATTCTAACCGCATCAAAAATGAAGTCTATGGTCGTTAAATGATGACTGCGATATATTGTCTGTGGGCTCTTTAAATCCAGACATACGTCGCGAAATGCTGGCTGGGATTGACTGCAATTTGTAGTTTCAGAGCCACCAATGAATATCATTGTCAGCAGCAACCGTTTTTGACTAAACCAACTCGGTTGAAATTCCATATCCGTCGTTATCGAGGCATATAGTGTCCACCGAAATATATTTAGCGAGTCAAGGTCGACGAGGTGGTACATTAAACCAAAAGGGTTACCCCTTTTTTGCTTACAAGATTCTGACAAAATAGTAATTCTTAAGTCCTAAAATATAGTATCATATTAGTTAGAGCTGAAGCTGTGATTAGTCATGATGAAATTCTTTTCGTAATTCGTACCTACGTAAATAACTAGTGGGTAGCAAGCAAAGAGCAATTCAAGATGGATGGCGCTAACTTTACTCCTCAGCAGAAGACCGAGCTCATCAACCGGGTAAGATTTGACTGTTCGCAATGGTCCAAGACCATTCTTTGCAGACATTGCACAGTCACCAATACCGAGATATACATAAGTAATGACAAGTCATCGTGAATATATTATGCAGGTTCGTTCGGAAGTGCAGCAGCAAGCGCTGCAAGAATTGACTCAAAATTTGCAAGAGAAGTGCTTTGATAAATGCATTTCACGCCCAAATGGCAAGCTCGACGGAAAGCAACAAAACTGTCTAGCTTTGTGCATCAACAGATACATTGACACCATGAAGGTAGTCTCGGAGGCAATGGTCCAGCGCGGTCCACAGGTAATTTATTGATCCAGGAATCTTTACAAACATGATAGGCTAACGATTCGTACTGCTTGTGAATGTTGCAGGGGTGAGGATGCTTTTTATTTTTTAGTCCTTGGTTTCCAAGTCCATATCGAGGAACAGCTTAGTCTGCAACTACAATTAAATCACATATCGAATTCTTTATTTCTTTCGATACAAATGGAAAAATATGAGTTAAGTTACATGTACAGTCATCATAAAGGATGTCATGAAGCGACCTTAAGGACAAATGAGAGATATAACAGCACTTTTATATGAGCTCAAAAACTGCTATGTTCTCGCTTGATCATAATAAAATTGTAAATCTACGACCAATCAAGACGAAAGCGTTGTCAAACCCGCAACAACCGACTTCCTAAGCGGCTCTGTTCAAAGATATTACCAATCTAAATCACAAGGCGTATACCAATACAGTTCACAGATGCCAGCTTTTCAATGCCAACCAAGTATTGAGAAGCATCATATTTGCTTAGCAGGCAATTCCGATGTTTTTGACTTAGTTCTTGGCGTCCGCCTGACGAGACAGCTCCGTGATGGCAATGTCTCCCTCACCATGGTGGCGAATGTAGCCAGCCAAAGCAAAGGTATCAGATTCACCAGTAAAAACGCCATTCGCATTGACGCGGCCGACGTTAATCTGCACCGAGGCGTGGTCCTTGGCCGCAAGGATGCGGTTGGTCCACGAGCTGTAGTTCGATCGTCAAAAGCAATATTAGTGAACAGTTGGTATAATAGGCAAATTGCTGTGATTAAGACGCACCATTTACGCGGGATATAGATGTCAATCGACTGGCCGGCCTCGTTCTGCATGGTAGCTTATCTAGAGTCAGTTGAATTTCTCAATAAAGTTAAGTCATTGCACTGCAGATTTTCCTAAAACCAATGGCCTCGAAAGTCCGTTACCGGTCGCTCTTACATATGTCTAGTTTAAAACTCATTCTTCTATAATTTATATTATGTGAAGTGGTGCACACAGTAACACCATCAGAATCGAAGGCATCAAATTGTAAGGATGTCGGAACAGATCACAGAACAGCAAGTGGTGGCTACATACAAGAGTCTGCGCGCTGAGGTGCGGCAGCTAGCTGAGAAGATTGCTGAGCTAGAACTGGAGACCACAGAGCATGATCGTGTGATTCAGACGCTCAAGGAGCTACCAAGCGGCCGCAAAGCCTATCGTATGGTTGGTGGTGTTTTAGTGGAGCGCACAGTACAAGAGGTTTTACCTGCCGTGAGTACCAACCGCGACGGCATTGCTCAGGTACTGACACAGCTCAATGAAAATATTAAGCAAAAAGAGAAAGCTGCTGACGAGTGGCAGCGAAAGTATAATATCCAAGTGCAGCAATAAGCTAGAAAAGGCCGTCGGTCGCTAGGGTAAATAAATTTGTGTTCTGGTTATGGTAAAATCTTTTCTTAAATATTCAGCCGATTGTAGACGAGACACATTAAATACTATCACGATGGCCGTGCTGTTCATTCGACAAAGCACTTTTCAATACGAAGTGAGTTCACGACTCCGTTGCGACGGAAATGATCCGCTTCTGATTTAATCAGGCAAAAAAGCTCGAATTAGTAGCTAAATCAAAAATATTCTCATGTAAACCTCATCACTTCACCTGTAACGCCAAACTAATTGCCTTGACCTGGTGATATTTCGCTGTTACAATTTTCATTTTCTCGTCAAATATAGTTTCCTGCTGCTCCACCACACCTTTCAACGAGCAAATTGTCTGGTCCTGGCACAAATATGCAATGGCATCACATCATTTAACATAGTCGTGCTCACTCATCATCCTTAATAGCCTATTACCTTTTGTTTACAAGCCGCTTCTAGATCCTTGATTCTCATCATCAAAGGCTCAACATCAACACTTAATTTCTTCGATCTTGTCGCTTGCCCAATTTGTTCCTCGTTGGTCCCAGTGCCTTTAACGCCGGAAATTCTTGTCGTCTGTCGTTGTATTAGTTCGTCTCTTGATATTGCCAATAGATATTCTAGCTCCGTCAACAATTCTTCTTGCTGTATTTTCTGCTCTCTTGCATGGTTTTGCTTCTCCTGGCAGTGGATCCTTTCCCATTGTCGCAAACGCTACACCAATTTTTAGGCCATATCACTTCAATCTGTACTGAGTTAGTTCATACCTCTGTTAACTCTTCATTCTCTTCCTGCAGTCTGTGTATTTTTTGTGCATCAATCTGATTCTCGTGCAGCATCCCTTCCAGTTCAATTACATGCTGCACCTGCACGTCCATGTCACGCTGGTGCTGTGCAAGCATTTCCTTCATGATCGTAATCTCCTCTTGCAGTTCTACATTATGTTCACTCAACAGTTTTCGATCGTGTGCGTATTTACTTAAACGCAACTGCAGCTCATGCTGTTCCGTCTTAAACGCATGCAATTGTGCTCGCTGTGCATCCATACGACGCTGTAGTCTCTTTGTTAAATCACGCTCTACCTCGATCTCACGAGAAAGCCACCATTCACGTACTTGCTGTTCTTCCACGTCTTGCGATGCATCGGCTCCTTGCACCGACACAGTGACACCTGCTTCCATAGTCGCAAAATTATGCTAATCATTTCGCTTATTGCTAAAATCTCTTGTTTGTTATTAAAATAAAGTTTAACTACAAATATTGTGATAGGATACAGCTCCCTCATATTTGTGGTTGTAAGTCACTCGCAGAGCCTCCAAACTCATTATGAACCGATTCGTTGCTGCCCTCCGTCCCCTATCGCGTTCTGTCGTGCGTTCGCCATTCGTGGTTTCCCGCACGATGCCTATGCGATTCTTTAGCGCACAGACTTTTTTGGATCGCAACGAAGTGAGTGAGCGCGTTTTAAGTGTTGTCAAGAACTTTGAAAAGGTGAACGGAGACGCTGTTAAAGAGAGTGCCAAGTTTCAGGAAGATTTGGGCTTGGATTCACTTGATGTAGTGGAGGTCGTCATGGCTATGGAGGAAGAATTTACTGTCGAAATTCCTGACAACGAAGCGGAAAAGCTACTCACGCCCGCGCAAGTAATCGACTATATCGCTGCCCACCCTATGGCCAAGTAAACCTATTCAAAGTAGCGTGCTGTTTATTTTAGTCCGCCTCGAGAATGGATGCAGCATTAAGCGCTTGTCATCGCTGGTTACTGAGACAGATACGGAATACAATTGATAGATGTTGAGGACAAAGAGAGAGCTGACCTGGTGTTGCGCATTAAATATCTAGCCGTGATAAGCATAACAACATTGCTGTTACTCTGATAGATAATCGAGTGCGTTGACTTGATATAATTTGCTTTAGCGGATATGATTCGAGTTGCTTGGTTATACCTCTTATGTTATGAACCTATAAACTAACTGCTACTTTTTAAAAGCAAAGAATACCTTTTCATCTATAAATGCGGTTTATAGGAGCAATATTATCAACAAAGTAGTATTCTTCTAATTTCCTTCTTTCTTTTTCTCTGCCTGCAATCGCGACAAAATATCATTGATATGGTTTCTTACAACAGGCTGGCCCATTGCCGTACGCTGACTTAATTTCACATGGCGTTTTTTCCGCTGAATAACTTTCTTTTCAAAAGTAGCGATGCGTTCTTGTCTCTCCTCACGCCCACGTTGCTTCTCTAGCTTTGAAATAGCTGCTTTCTTTTTAGCCTTGTAAAATGGATCAGGCTTGGTCACGCGCTGCTTTTCTTCTTTAGCTCGGTGCGTTCTATCAGTTCGTGCCTCCACCTTCTCTACTTCTTCATTCAACTTGCTAAAAAATTGATCGTAAAATGACGATCTAGTGCCAGTGTCTCCAGCACCATCACCCGGTGCACTCTCCTCACGTTTTTTAATCTTTTCGTACTGGCGTCGACGTTGAGCCTTATGAATTATTAGTTTCTTCTTGCTCTTGGCATCACTTTTAGATCGCTGAGCCTTGCCCTTTACAAAGCGCTGAATACTCAGACCGCTGCCGCGCATCTCTATTCAATGTCTGCTCAATGATTGGTTTATAAGGTATGATGTGGAACACTTCAATTAGTGCCTTGTCAAAATGATTGAGATCTCGTAAGCGAAACATTGTCATCAGTCTGCTGCTCCTCTAGCTGATAGGCTGGCATCGTAGCTGTAGCTTGTTTGCACCAACACCCGCAACCGGTTGGACATGTTGTTTCGATCTCAAACCATTCGCGAAGGTGCGCAGTGTGACCACCATGTCCACAAGTCATACAAAACATTGATTGGCCTCGCACGACAAGTTGACACACTGAACAGCGCACAGCAAAATCTCGACAACTCGAACACACTAAATCAATTGTTTTCTATGCACAAAAGCAATTGCAGACTGTTAAAATCATGACTCATTCTCGTATTTGTTTGCTTAATACGCACCGAAGTACAAGAGGCACACACCAGTCCTATTGAAATACCACGCGGGTCATGGGTGCCGTACGATTTCGTCTTCAACACTTCATTGCGCAAATTCATTGCACCATACCGATACAATACATCTGCATATGCTTCTTTGTAGATATCGTAACGAGCTTCATCTTCTGGGAGTAAAGAAAGTAGACACTTTTCATCCTCCATCGATCGAAAGCTCAACGTTAACTGAACTCGATCAGTTACATCCACTTCCTCCTTTTTACTTAGACCATCAAAAGATTCGTGCAATGGAGAAGAAGCCATAGGATCAATTCGTGGGGACGCCGACGCTGTCATTGAAGGTGCTGGTGACTTGCCATTAACCGCCTGGATAGGAGGCTGGAAAGTATCGGCTGTCAATCGAGGAGGAGGGGCTTCCCTTCCAGAATTTCCACTCCACGTCTTGAAAGGATTCTCTAATCGCTCAAAGTCCATTTTCCAACCGTAGTGTGGTACTTTTCCATCGCGATTCGTACCACGCATATGATCTCGACTGGGACTTGAGTGACGACTTGATGCGTTGCTATTTGTCCCGATATTTGTCCCTTGCCAGTCTTTAAACGCACGCATAGTAGCATCTTTATCAAACGTAAGACCCTGGGATCGACCCTCACTGTGGCTACTTGATCGTCGAGCCCCTTTCATGACAGGAGGGGCATCACTGAATTCGGTAGATAAATTATTAGACGACAAGTGTCTAGTGCGCATGCCATTGCTGACACTTGTGGTGTCACTTGGAGTGGACTTCAAGATATGATTTACGTCCTCGGTGCTCGAACGTCTATCTTCCTGCACGACTGGCAGCTGGTCCTGCATTGTGATAGCTGAAGGCGTGACCGAATAATGACTCTCATCTGCTCCCTTGCGCTCGCTAGGCTTAAGTGCACACACAATGGATGCCAGCGCCTGTACATCTCCGACTTGTTCGTACATGTCCAAAACTTTATGAACAAGACGCTTTCCCAAAGGGTGTGCACTCCATGGATGTGACGTTTGTAGCCTTCGCAAATTTGTCGAATCTACGCTTTTACTGTAAATGGGCAGCTCCACATCAGGTGCCGCTGAGATTCCAAGCAGCGACCATATTTGTTGCAAATCGCGCCGTCCTGCAAGCGCAGCTGTCCGCGCATTTTGCACACATGTTGCAGCCAGCGCTGTGCACGAATTGAGTTCAGAAATACCATCCACACCTCTATTTGACTCGGCTTTATCATTTTCCTTTACGAGACCCTTCAAAACATGCGCCAGATGATTCTTAGACACAACGCCACGCTTGTAGGGCACTTCTTCAGCCGCTTGTAGCATCCAAGAGATCATCGAGCGATTCACAGCTCCAATCTGGCTCATTTTGCGCTTGATTCTCATTTGCGTCTTCGATGGTAATGCAAGAGGGATGTTACTCCGCGGTATCAGTTCAGTTTGGTACGTTAGGATTGAAGACACACCGCACAGCTTAGACAGATCGAGAATTGTCACGCTGATACTTAAATCCAGATTAAGCGCTGGTGTCGGTTGCTCCAGGCGATTTAATCGCTCAGTCGTGTTATTCCGGATTGTTAAGTGTGGAGAAGGCTGAAGGCCGGGTGGAGCACTTGGTGGCATGGTCAGTAGATGATCTGGATTGTTCACAGGTAAATGGTACTCAGCACTTGAGAAGTACTTGCTCAAATACTCTGATCCTGTATGGATTGACGACTCTGACTCGTTCATCATATCATCGTTTCCACCCACACCTCCATTTCCAGATGGATAGTACATGGTCGCATGACGATATCCATGCGTCTCGACATCTTCACCAAAAATTCCAACACCGTTATCAATCATATCCTGGGCTTGCTGCTGCTGTCCTGCCCAGTCGGTTGGACCAACGTCCATCGATCCCATCATGTTTGTTGATGAAAGAAGCTTTACAGGAGGTTTCTTGTTCTTCTTTGTTGCAAAGCGAGAATCTCGTAAGTCTAGTAGTTCCTCGTACGTGCGTGGCAATTTATTCGAAGGTACTTGTGGCTTACTCTCTTTGCCAGCTGCAACTGTAGTCGGAACGACAGAGCTGCGCGATTGGCCGATCGCCACCCGGGAATCAAAAACAAGCAGCATGTTAGGACCACTAAAGGCCGCTCCCGATATTCGAGGACATGGCAGAGCTTTGGCACCGCTAGAATGTGTACCACGATAAGTTGCACTGATCAAATCATCCGAAAATTTGTCTGCCACTGGACTATCATCGTCACTATTTGAGGACTGTGCGTGCAACTCACTACCCTTTATAAGCTCTTCCTCCAACGCCAGAAGCGCTTGCAGTGAGCTGTCATCGCCTTGTAGTGTGTACTCATCTTTACTTAGTGGTACTGCCGACTTTGGTACCACAAGCGGTAAGAAATCAGATTTCAGAGCCGATAGGCTGTACTTGAAATGCTGAGCGTGCATCTGAGCAACATCGGTACGTAGCATATGATGAATGTCGGTTTGCTGATGAATACTGGTGTTATTCCCTTCCGATGGCGCACCGTCCGCAAGATACGACGCTGTATCATAGCCGCATGCCTCAAGCTGTGGCACATCTACATGCCACAATCGTAATTCTTGATCTTTTGACCATGATACTAGCTGAAAGACGTTGGATTGAGGACGAACACGCCACGCCATTCCTCGAATTAAAGCGTTATGACCCACAAACGAATGCACAAGGTCGGCCGTCACGGTAGCTCCAGAGTTAGAACTCGTATTATTCAAACTTGATGTCTCCTCGTGATTTCCACTTTTTCCTGGACCATGCGATAGTGCCCAGAGGCGAATGGTATTGTCTAGTCTTTGAGAGATTGTCACTAAGCCCTCGCCAAATGGCGTGTACTGTGCTCTCCACACTGGCGCGCCTGTCGTGAGCATTCCTTGACACACTCTTGGTTGTGTGATATCCCAAAACTTGACTGTCTTGTCTTCTGAGCATGTTACTAATTCGTACATGCGCTGCGGGTTCCAGTCCAAGCCGTAAATGTTCTGCATATGAGCCGTGATTAGTGCCACGGGTGCCACTGTTCTCTCTCCACTTGCACGTAGATCCCACACACGCACTTCTCCATCGTGGGCTGTTGCTAAAGTCGTCGCATCAACTCGATTCCACTCCATTTGAATTACACTTATATTCGAGGCATTCAGTGTCTGTACTGGTCTCTGAGGAGACCTCATATCCCATAACAATGTCTTGGCATCTGCAGAACTTGTTGCCAGCAATGAAGGCTCCATAGGTGACCATGCAATGTCACTCACTGGTCGTGTATGACCTCTAAGTGTAGCTACTAAAGGCTGCGTCGAAGTTTGCGATCCACCAACTTCCTGGTCATGTTTTTGCGTTCCTGAAGATCCTTGATATAGTCCGACTGAAGAAGATGAATTCGCGTTTACTCCAGCATTTGCTATGTCCCAGATTAGTGTATTACGATTGCTAGAAGAGGCGACATGGCTCTTAAATAACGCATGCGGATTGCACTTGACAACTGTCACTTCAAGCTTTGTCTGATGGTATAACGTAGATGGCGGCAAGAAGGGTGTATCCAAATCCACTAGGTGTAGACCTTTGCGTCCAGCTAAAACAGCAACTGCACCTGTCGCATCTACGCTAAGAGCACTAGCGTTAAGATCCAGACGCACGTTTACATTTCCGTATATTGCGGATCCCCCAGTGGCCGAATTGGAGCCATCCGAAGCCACTGAAACGCTGGAGAGTCCGTCAAGTGCACAAGGTCCATCTGCATTGGTTAGTTGTGATGTCTGACTCTCATTTCGTACGCCAGAAGAGCTACGAGCGTGGCATGTGCGCCGTCGCCGCATCTCGTTGGAAATTAAATAAGAAAAGATGTAGACAAAAGCACAAATGGAACCCTCTATCTTATAAATGTTACTTGTGCAAAATAGTGCGAATACTAGCGCAACGAACTTTAAGCAAGTCAATCAGTCGTTTTTGAAGTGATTGTTGCGATTTCAATACGTTCATAGACGCCTTCTGCATGGCCTGATCTTTTAGCGAAGACGAAATCTTTGATAAGATTGGCGATGTGATTTGAATTTCGGTAATGCACGTCTGTAATGACGTAAAAGATTCGTTCATTTGCTTGAAAAGGTTGCGTAGTGCAGTGAATGAAGCTGAAAGTTGCTCACTCTTCTTCGTTTTTGCTTTCATCAGCATACGCTGCGTAAGTGCCAGTACACATAGTGAGGTGAGACCTGTGTCAAGCAGTAACGACGACATTGTGGATACAGCATACGGCGAAAACGTCACTAAATCACGTGTGGTCTCAGCACTAAAGACCATATTTGCTTTTAGTTGCTCCACTATCGCAATAAAGTCACGCTCGAGTTCCATCACTGCTGGAGATAAATCCGTTTGCTCTTCTATATTGTTACTCAGACTGTTCACCAATTGCACAGATGTCGCGATTGTAGCGGAACTCCATTGCCAGAGCTTCTCATGAAGCTGAGGTTTTTGGTTTTCCGACGCAATGAGGTGAAGTTTAGTTACTATGTCGTCGTACTCATTTTTCAGATCAAATAAAGTGGTGTGGTCGTCGTCTGCAAGATTTTTGAGCAGCTTTGGCACCAGCAAGCGGAGTTTGAGCCATAGCAAAGAAGACGAGGCATCAGCGGAGCAATCATATTCCACTAGAGGTGCATCGTCTTGAGCAAAGAAGGCACCTGTCGGGATTCGTGGTTGTGCAGTCCAGTCTACGATGACCTCACGATGCTGATTATACGACAATTCAGCGCCATCAAGCGCAAGCATATTTTCTAGGTCAGTCACTTGCGCATCGAAATTCGAAGATGTCACGACCTCGAACAATTTTGAAGGTCCTAAAGCAAGAGCGTCGAGCAGCTCGAAGCGCAGCGTCTCACCTTTGCTTATAGCTAGTGTATGAGACTTTTTCATGCGCTTGTGAAGAAAGGTAGACATATCCACCACCTTGGAATATACGCCAAGTCGATACGCACGAGCAATATACTCAGGTGTGTCCTTCGCCGTGCTATTGTGCAAGGATAGAATTCGGTTTGTCAGCTTCTGTGCTTCGGGATAGTAACACAGGCCGAGCAGTTTATCCAAGACCAAAAATGACAAGGAGTCCAATTGCACATACTTAATATCTAGTTCCGCATGACGGCTCAACATTGCTTTTGCAGCACCCAAATAGCCGTACACACGAGATAAGAGAAGCTTCATCTGGAAATTATATGCACTCTTTTCCAATCCATACTCGAGTAGTCCTGCAGCTCGCTCCAAGTACGATCGATGACCGCTTGAGCGCTGATAAATATCAAGCAGCGTATGTGCAGCAAGCAGCAATAAGTCATCTGTAAGCTGCACCTCTCGCTGGCCACCGGCGCTACCAACGTTAAGCCAGTTCGTTGCTTCATATTCATCTTCAAGCTCCTTTACCAAGTGATCCAAACTAACAACAGAAAAGTGCTCCACGTTGTCGTAGAAGCCCAGAAAGCGAAGCGACTTGAGTGCAAGTAGACGCTTGCTTAGACTAGCTTGTCCAATTTTACGAGTAACTTCATCATCCACATCATTGCCTGTCGGCTTGAGCTTTAGCGAATGCGCAGACTCCGTCGACATCTTCACAAAGTAAGTAATTAAATTTGATTTAGCATGTGATGAGAAAGTCGAGCTCTCGTTCAAATACAGAGTAAAGTATTGTTTCAAATCAGTAAAACAGCACGTCTTGAAGTGAAATCTATCCGCATAGGCAACGATATTCTCTTGCAGATTCATCTCAGCCGTTGAAATAGCCGCATCTTCTGCATCCAACCTCTTTAAAATCTCGCAATTGACATGAATTTGAGCGAGAGCAGGACCTCGTATGCGATCGTTTCCTGGTGTAGACGCTAGATCATGTAAGAACTCTGTCAGTTCTTCTCGAAGTGTCAACAGCTCGTCCATATTGCAGTCAGACTTTTCTATAAATCGAGCAGCGATGTAGTCCTTCAAAAAAGTCCAGTCATCCGCATTAAATTCCTCTAAAAGCTTTCGATTTACCGCCGCACATCGTTTCCAATTCTTCACATTTTTTGCAAGTGTTGCCTCTAGCGACAATTTATCAATAGTCTGCATACATCCCAACTCAATTTCTTCGTCATATTCTCCTTCACCTTCTGCAGCACGTCCAAGTGTCACTATCTTCTTATCCTTGCTATCGTCCACTCGTACGAGCTCGTCAAACGTTTCCAATGCACCATCATCATTCCCTTGCAGCTGCATAATCAAAACTACTAATTGCAACGCTTCACCATCATCCGATTTTGTTTCTCTCAGCGTCTTGATCAGCATCTTCTCGGCCAGCGCTAGCATACGCGCTGGTGCACCACCATGCTCCACCTGCAGCATCATGCTAAGTGCTGCCCAGCAAACGTATTTAATTTTTCCAAAAGCTTTGAACATTTTCAGCGCCGTCTGCTGCTGCTTAAGGAAGGCGCTGCAACGTGCATAACTCACGAACAGCGACAAGAAGAGTTCTTCATTTGGTGGATTACTCACAGCGCAGGCATGTTCAAAAGTTGGAAGCATCTCATGCTCGCATCCGGCTAACTTAAAGACCAAGTTCATAGTATTAAGCAATGTCTCGTCAGTAGGCTGCTTAAGCTGAAGATAGCGACATATGTTCAAAGCTTCCTCCACGCGACCCGTACGTTCCAGCGAATGCGCTTTGAGCACCTGCACGATGTCTAAATGTGCCACACGTTTGTGTGAGCAGAGTTTAATGGCATTCTTGTATTGGTGATCATCAATTGCTTGATAGATAGGCCGCACATAGCGAGCCATAAGCCACGCATTATCCGACATGTTTCGGTACTGAGCCAACCTCCGCCAATCAACTGGCGATTATGATTCGCCAAAATTATATAAACATAATTTTTAAACATTTGATAATCACAATGGCAAGCCAAATGATGAAATTCATGAAGATGGTGCGTTCCAGGCAGACGGCGGGATTACAAGCGACATATCGCAGATTTTCGGACGCGCCGGTACCAAGAAGACGCACTGAGAAGTTTGGAGTGAGTCATTAGTTCTGCAGTGAAATGAAATTTACTCCAATTTGTGTTGTTAATTAACAATGTTGCCATGTTTGTAGCCAATCACTTGGAGTGGACTTGCATTAGCTGGTGTCGTTGGCAGTGGTGCCGTCTACTATTACTTTTCAGAAAAGGATCGTTTACAGACTCAAAGTGTGTTTATCTAGCGGTTATTTTGAAGGTTACTGCACTTACTTACGCTCCTGTTTGCTGCTTACAGCAACATCTAAGGTGACTTCTGTGGGAAAGCCGCTGTTAGGAGGACCATGGACACTCGTAGACTGTGATACAAGACGTGCAGTGACAGACGCGTCGTTTCGTGGCAAGTATACACTGTTATACTTTGGCTTTACGCACTGTCCCGATATTTGCCCGAATGAGTTAGTGCGTATTGGGAACGTTCTCGACAAGCTCGAGACAGACAAAACTTTGCCGGAGGTTGTGCCATTGTTTGTTACAGTGGATCCTAAACGTGACACTATCGCACAAATGCAACTTTACAAAGCAGATTTTCATCCGAAGATGAAAATGCTCACTGGTACGCGTGATCAGGTGGCAGATATAGCGAAATCATATCGTGTCTACTTTTCTAAGGCTGATGAAAATGAAGATGACGATGATGATTACCTTGTAGACCACTCGATTGTGATGTATCTTGTTGGTCCGGATGGAGACTTCCTTGATTTTTTTACTCAAAATGCCCGGGTGGATGACATTGTCGCAAAGATAAAATCGTATTTTTGAGAAAACATTGATCATGAGCTGGAATTATTACGCAATAATATGAAATTATTATTTCTCGAAAACAATAGCGTGCGTTCTTCATCCTATAAATTCTACTCTTGTATGAGCAGGTCGCCGCCTGCATTGCGAGCGGCAAGGCATGTCAACTCCCACTCCACTCGCTATTCCAACTCGCTCGACATGTGACGTACCCAGTAGTGCGCTATGCATGACAAGCATTCAAACTGCGCGGAGTCCAACATCTTGCAAACTATCATCAGTGATGGCTTTGCCTCTCTTTTCGCGACAGAACGATCGCGCAGCAAATCTTGTTTAAACTGCCCTCTTTGTCAGGTCCCACAACCTCTTTCATATCGAGTCGACGATCCTTGTAGGTTGTGCGCAAAGTTTTCACTTATGCCATCAGGAAGCTCCAGCATACTTTGGCAAGGAAAATAATCCCGTGACAAAAGATGACAAGCCGGATGGGGTGCTCTGACGGAAAACGCTCCTATATATTTAAGAAGTGGAGAGCTAGCGCGACGATTTGTTAACCTTACGTTCTATACAAGAACCAGTACGAGTGTAGCGGATCGCAATCCGCTATCTCCAGAGTATCTCAAAGCATAAACCAATGTAAGACGCTCTCCTGCTCAAAATTGAAACTGTATTTAGTTGTTGTATTTGCGGCAAAGTCGCCTATATTTAGAGCCTTAGGAATTCGAGATAAAATAGTAAAACCTAATTAATATGCATAGCTTTTGGCAGTCCTGCCATGTAGTGGCTTCTTGTTACGGTGTAGCAACACCATTGTGCGATTAAACCGACATGTGTGACCCGCCCTTTCAAGTAACTCCGTTACACTCTGGGTACGTGTAACCCCCTGACCATTTGCTTTTCAGGACGGAACATACACTCGGGACCAGCTCTAAGAAGACATTAATATGAAGAGATATCAAGATCCAATCAGCTGAACATCAAGCGTATGACTGCTCGTATATCAGCACGTGACCTTTATTTTGTAAGCATCGAGACCGGCATGGCGTGCAGTGCTGCTCAAGATGTTTTCACTTATTAAGATTTACGTCCGCGTAAAGCTTTGTCAAGATTGTCTGAGATAGTCCTCAGACCCAGAGCGAGACTCAGATTACCATGACGAAGTATGATGATTAATAAAGAGGGAGGTGCAAAAGAACGAGATGGCTTAGAGCGGCTTTATCCGGTGTTTACCTTTTTGAGGCCGGGGCAGACAGCTTGAGTTGCGGTCATCGGGCAAACTCCGATAGTGAATGTTATCAGTTGGCCTGTGCTTGGCATCACAACGAATGACATGCGTTTTACCATGCGGCGACACAAAATAATATGCCTATCGTAAAAAGAATTAACATTATTAACCCGGTGGCGTACAATTTTGTTCACTGGTGGCCAGAGTACTTGGACATATAAAGGGAAAGTCATCCTTCTAGCTCGACCCCAGGTAGAAGGTATTAGAGGGCTGAGGCTTTCATTAAGTACTGCATTTAGCGTATTGCATGGTTGTGATATCACATGTATAGTTGCTAATAGAGTCGTGCTAAAAAAGATCCTTATGAAATCGCCACTCGGCAAAACTTTTTGTGCCAGAAATGCTAGACCAATTATTCATGCTTCAATTGTAGAAATGCAGCCACGATGTCAGTGCAATAGTCATTTCTTGATAAGGCTGAGCTGTTAAAGCAGCATGATAAAGTGAGTTTTTCATAGAGCACCTTCGATTTCATGTAAGAGGTAAGCCGATAGAGTCACAAGCCTAGCATGCACACTTGCGCTTCAGAGATAGACTTGTGTTTTCAGCAAAAAACAACTAAGTCAAAGACTATATGAAGGGCATCAATTAGACCCCCAAGAGGCTTTATTTCCAAGCTTACACATGCCGGAATAAACCATTAGATCTCATACGTAAAAGATATTAGGTACAAAATACAAGGGTCTTAAAAAACGATGGAAGAATGATCACACTTTAGTCGGAGATTGACTAGCGCTTTCAAGGTCTTGCCTGATGATTTTCGAGCTGAATCAGGGGAAATGTCGTATTCTGTACGTTCATCATAACCTGTGTATACAAAGAAGAAGACTTTACCTAGGGCACAGTCTTTTTGAGCGATTCCAAGAATGCGCTTATAATAATTTTCGCAGATGCAGCTACTACTCTGGGAGCTCGTCTTTTTCTTGCAAATTTTTGCGCTGACTCTCACGAGTACGTTCGACACCTGAAATCCGGCACATTCGTCTCATAGCGTGCAGCTGAATGACATACAGAAAAGGCGAGCGGCCTTCGCAGCTGATGACCTAGCTACAATTGGCGAGGCCACCAAGATTTTTCCGAAGACAGCGGCTGCAATAACTCCCCAAGTCACTATCCATCAACCTCACCCACACTGAGACTCATATGGCTAAGCCGTCTCCTACCGGCGAGACGTTCTTTGCGCTCTGCCACAATTCCGAACAAATCGCGCCCAGGTCCAGCTGCTTACTAAGCATTGCTCAGCAAGGTAGCCATGCTCGTCTACAAGTGCAGGAGTCACAACGATTTCGTTACATTCTCTCACTAACTCACACTGGGAACAGATTGTCCTATCGGAATTCACCCCGCAGCAGCGTGGCCATTAAGCACCTACGCGTGTAATTTTCCTGCTCAGGTAGAGCAATTATATGCGTATAAGTTGCTTCAACAGTGCGTACGAGTTTCTCAGGTCGCCACGTTTCAGGAGTGACGCTCTACTAGATCAGCAGCGATTGAAATATCCGTACTCTTCCTTGATATGACATTAGTACATGACTGAATTTGCGCACTGAGTGAAAGTGGCACGTCGCGTCACCTGTCGGATAACTTTCGTGTCAGCCTCAATTTAGCAGCATTTTAGACAAAACGTCGTCTATTGTTTGGCTATTTGCAGCACACACCATGAAGTAGATATTAAGGTGGATGCTCAGCATCTCTTAGTCTTACTGTTAGTAACTCGGTTCATCTCTATAGACTCGCAAGTAGGCTATCGGCCAAGTTTGGAGCTTGGTATAAGGCCAGACCCCATTGGCTAGTGTTGGCTAGTGATAGGGGTGCGCTAGTCAATTCCGTCTCTCGACGAAATGAAGACAAAAGGTGTGCCAAGTCGTCAGCAGCTAACTATTCGGATTATTAGCCGAGATAGAATCTCAGACTGTCTTTGTAGTAGGAGTATTTCTTTCACTCAATCAAATACTGGTTGCGGCTCTGGTGAAATCCCTGCCTTGTATCCGATTTATATGCATACGACCACTTCATCAATCAAAGCGGGCAGAATAACCTTCTTCACCAAATTCGGTCAAACTTTACCAGAGTAAGTTAGCCGTATGGCCACTCTCTCTTTGAGTATCATCTTATCAAAGCAACTCATGTGAGTTATTTTTTTGGATGCGCTCGGGAAGTCGTGCAAACGAATCGATCGGCGTTCTGCACAACACGTTTTGACAGTTGTTGTTAATTATAGGGAGCCCAGCTGCAGGGTATGATGGAGGCGTTTTCAGCAAGATGCCTTGCATTTGAATGGCTCGCGAGAGCGGGGTCGTGATACGACTAGAGTAAGCTCTGGTGGTGTTCGCATTCTCTTTGAAATATAGAATCTACGGGGTGCGCTTTCCGCATCGTAACTTTTAATCATAATGTCGCGCACTCGACGCATGACGCTCAATTGCTCCGAAATGACATTCTTTGTGCTACAAACAGGAGCCAAGGATGTTCTCACGTCGCCACTAGTTGACAACCCTCGCCCACCACTCTCTGAGGTGTTGTTGACGGGATGCGATGTATGTTGGTGAACCAATTCATGTCTAAAAGCTTGAAGAGGCGGGTGCTGCGATTTGACGCAATCCCAACATGTAAAAGAATTTCAGCACCGCAGTTTTTCCTAAAAATACGTCGGGTGATATCCTTTCACCCCACGACCAATGTGTTCCTTCTGTTCATCAGTGCAAAAAAAGTCGTTAAAGAATATCTGTCTAGCACCTTGAACCAGGTTAGCCAGAACATCCCTGTAAAGCACGAATTCGATCCGGTATATAGTCACCTGCAAACAAGTCAAAGAACAACTTTATCGAGGGACAGCTTTACTATATTCTCATCGGAAGCAATGTCACTGACAGCGGCAAGGTCAGCGCGAGGGCGACAAAGCATGTCAAGCTCGATAAAGTTTCTATAAGATGTTCTAAATAAAGCGCTTGGGGCTTCGACCAAATGCAAAATCGCGTGCTTACCATCAGAGCATGCAAACAAAGTTTTCGAACTACAAGGTCGACAAAGGCGAATTAGCAAACATTGTTTTCGCAGCATTGAGCGCTTGGGTCATCAAATTGGATGATAACTAGGATAGTTTTCCAAGTGGTCATTTCGGGCTAGAGAAACTCTCCTTAGTTTGTCTCTAGATTATGACTCATCAAATGATGTAATGGGCATAACAGTTTATTTACATACTACACCGGTACCCGTTCAGAATAACCAACGTTAAGTACCAAAATCAATTATCATGATCCATACCTGAATTGTGTGATAGATGTTCACCACCTTCCACGAGGCTAAAATTGGTATCGGGAGGCGCTTTGCAGCAGTCCAACTCGATCTCCACCTTAGAATCTGACTTGCAGTAGCCTTCGTGCCAGCCGCAACAATCCAACCCAGCAGCTGCACAGTTGAATCGTCTTTGGCAATTGCTGTGAGCGATGAGGACATCAAGACTCTGTAAAGGAGTGGTCCCTGGGACGCGTGGGCTATAGTCTTGCTCTAAGTATTATAAAGGGTATTGTTTTTTTACTGATAATCATATTTAGTACCAATGATCTCTAGAGTGAGCTTCAAATATAATCCATTACGAAAAAAGATATTCATTACAAGGTACCAGTGGTACTATACATTCGGCATCTGGGTGATGCGTACGGATCAATCTCTGTGCGTGAGCTAACGTGGATCGGCCGAATCAAAGTTTCTTTGTATGAGTCGCACAACAACCGCTTTGTATTTAGTAATTACTATCTCTTTCTTGATGAGAAGGATATACTTTATAGTACCGTCTCTGTTCTCAAAACTAAACGACACATTGCCGCTAGTTTGGCTTTGTTTATCTTGATGGCGTTGCCCAATCGGCTGCTGAAGAGCCGGAATCGGTCTTTGCTTGCGAGGACGCGCTCACCAGCTATGATAAAGCACTGATACGAATTCTCCAAAAATGCCTTAAAAGTTGTCTGTGGGAGCACAATCGGCTTCTTTAGGAGAGATTATTTCCCCAAGCGTCTAACTTCTGTGACAAAAACTATTACTGTCAGTCTGTTGAGGTCAGAGTTAAAGAAAAAAGACTATCGGGGGTGAGAGAGGTTTGACTACCTTAATTTAGTCATACATTAGAAGCTGTGTTGCGCCCGAAATGAGCCCTTACGTTCTGTACCTCCCTGGGAAATCAGTATTAAGTATACGGTAAGTGTTGAAACGACAGGCATCGCATGTGCTCATTTCGCCTGTCAAACGAAATGCTAGCGGTTAAATTTTTGGCCCAATCATTAACGGAGGAAGAATTAGCTAATTGTGTCTAGGGATTTAAATCTCCAAAGCCTGAGAGTAGCTCTTTTGGAAATATTGACAGTTATGGGTCTCCGTACAAGCGTGGCTCACACCGACGCCTCTTGTACTTTATGCCTTCTTAGGGGATGCGGCGGGCGTCGCATTGAATGTGAAAAAGCTTTCATGCAGTGAGATTCGGTGGGCGGAGACATAGGTGATGAACAGTTAATTTCGAGAGAAAGAGAGTAGTTTTTAGCTAGTGAACAGCACAGTGATACTTGCAGTTATTACATCTGTGGAACTATTCAAGTATCGGCGACTCTTGTTGCAGCGGGGCTGCCGTGGCTCTTCGCTTAGAGGAAGCTTGATTAAGGTCGGTGACCTTCGTTCTATGCTTACAATCAGTACGAGTGTAGCGGATCGCAATCCACTTACTCCAAGAGCAATTACAACCTTAAACCGAGACCGATTAACTCTTCCTTTAGAAAGTAACTGCGTTTATTGCGGCAAAGCCGCCTATATTTTAATCTATAGGTTCTCCAATCTATATCGGAAAACCTAATTATATGTATATATACTGGCTGTTCCTGACTTCTTGCTTAAGTGTAGCCACAAAACTGTGTGGTCACACCGGCTAAGTCATTGGGCCGCGGGATATTGACAAAGAAATTTGGCGGTATCGTATGCGCTGCAAACTTGATTTAACCCGTGACCGAGGATGGAATTAATGGCCTTAACCCTGATTACCTAAAATTCATGTGCAAAGGAATGTTTAAGTATGATCATAAATTAAGGCGTGGTTGGGCTTCCAGTAATACAAGCCATGATATCAGGGACAAGTATAGTGATATTTGTTCCGCTTGGTGAAAAAAACATTACTCAATACGTCATCGTTCACTCATCGTGACCTGGTTTACAGGCAAATAGGTGGTATTGGCGAGCAGTATTATCAGCACGTGAAAAAAATCAAAACGACACGGAATAACGCTCACAAAGTTAAATTGATACATCATTTTTTTCAAGAACACACTTGGTATTACTGATTGCAATCTCTCAAGTACTTGAGGACTAGTCAAGATAGCTTCGGACATAATAATGACACTCAAGAACAAATGACAAGATGTGTGTGCTGGCAATCGTTCATGGGACAAGGAAATAAAGCCAACTTGCACAAACAGGTCAGAGATAGACATAGTTACAACATTAGAGACCTGGAGGCAAACAGACATCGTGTAGCATCCTACACGATATTGAGTAAAAAGTGTATCGTATAGGTTGGAAATTCGGGCCGCAAAATTGATTTCTCCAGTGAACGACGAAACGTATTTCGCTTGAAGCGTTCATCGACCAAGCTCCGACTCTCACAACAATTGCTTTTTGCGCTGAATACGCATTGCTGTGGGGCAGATGAAAAACATCTGGTCTGTGGCAATGGATGGCAAGTTTGTTTTTTTTTTCAACCGGGTACGACTTGTATGACAATGTTATTTTTATATCATTTTTCTGCCATGCGCTGATAAGGCGTTCGGATCATATTTAAAGTACACGGGGGTCGGCCCTTTAGAAACGTCAACACGATTGTTACGGGAATAATAAACCCTTTGAAGTGTTACAGAACCCACAATGCCGGTAGTACCAGAAGCGTCTTCTAAAACCCAAAGGGGAAACCTATGTTATCGGACTATCAGCATCGTCCGGGAGTTCAGTCGGGGCAATGGTATCGGATCATGTGGCGAGAGTTTTACCTGTTGATTCCATTCACACGGACGCATATTTGTACTAAGCTATTGTATATTCTAGGCAAACAATGCGAAATGCTCATTGTGATTCTCACCAAAGTGGTTTTCCAGAGAAGAAACATTTGTGTTGTACAGTATCTCATCATGAGGTACCACCGCACAGAGAGTGGGTGTTGTGATGTTGTGAGCCTTGGATCAAGCATAGCGTATATAAAAATGTAGTCGAACGCTTCGATAAAGCGGCAACCGAGCTCAAAAACCTCTTATTTGTCACAGCTCAAAAAGTTAGCAACCCACGTTACCTCCGACCCGTGCGCCGTACATTTGATCTGGTTGATTCGAAAAGACAGCGTCGTGCTAAACAACAGTTTACAATTTAAGCGCCTCAAAAGCGCTTCCGCCACAAAACAAGCCGGTTCGGTTTATACTTTACCTCAAAAAAATTATCAGCAGGTATGCTTCTGCGAGTAATGTGCGATGCCGCCGTGCGCAACGAAGTGTGGTCTGTTTAGATTACAAATGACTTTGAGACAAGCTCATGTACCCTGAACATGTGATATAAATTCTCAGAGTATGTCCAACGCGAATAGGATCATGATTATACCCAGCTGTTTGGCGAAAGGTAAGACTAAGCCAAAGGCCGACGAAATAAAGACGACTTGAGTGAATAACCCGGATTTGGATGGGTAGAAAACGGACCAAACATGGACCTACATCACATCGGCTTAACAACTGCCTCGTGTATGGCGCCCCAGCACCATTTGATATCGAGTGGTGTAAGGTGTTCATATAGTCATAAGCCGCACAACAATTGTGCAAGTAAATGGTCAGAACAAACCACTTCCTAACGTTGTTAATTAGAGTGGCACTGAAAGATCCACGATGTTTGTGGTTGTCCTTGCAGACCATATCTTCCAGCGTAGCTCCCCCAAGTTAAGGACTCGCGTCTCTATGTTGGCAAACAGTATGTTAGAGTACAAATTAAAGCTCACTACTCGTAAGCATACATTTTGAGCGAATTGATCTGATTAACGGTGCTCTGCACGTCTACAAATATTCATGTCGTCAAACTAGATTCACGATTTGGTCTAAACAGCTACGCCACGAGACGATTGAGGGTAGCTGGTGCATGAGTTAGTCCTTGCGGCACAGTCAGCAAGCTCCCGCCAACAAGAGTGTTGAGCGCAGCGAGAATCATATAGCCGCCCTCATGAGCAGCTCACGATCATCTTCGAATAGGATAGAATAATCCACCAATCAGAGCGTAACCAACCATGCTTTTTGCAGCACATGGATCTTGAAATCGACGATTACACTGAAATGGTGGCTTCATTAAGTTTATTACAGCATGCACATCTTGCCACTTGCCAATAGCATTATTAGCTCAAAATGTTAGCGTCCACTGAGAAAGAACAGTTTTCTCGCAAAATCAACTTCTTGTTCCGCACAAATAAACCAGCTGTTACATTCCTTTCGCTTACGGCTACACGGGTGTCCTCGCTAAATAAACCATCCATGGTAAATAAGATGATTAGCTCCTCATTCGGTAGCAACCGATCCAACTCGATGACTTGACTGTCTATGATGTGACTCCACGTCATCTGAATATAACAATCCATACCCAACGACTCTTATTTAGGATAGTAAAAGAAAAGTTAGGCTTTCTACAAGTGCTCCTGGTCACCACTTTCACAAGTTAGGAAACCACTCGCTACGAGTCTGTGGAAGTAGGGATCATCGTGGTGAGGATGTATAATTTTACATAACTTCCAAGCCTATAATTTTTATTCGCGGATTGATCAAGCACAGTATTTGCCCTGGTAACCGCGATCCAAATCGCTCATATTCTTTCTATCAAATCGATTCATAAAAACTCTAGCTTGTACACTGAAGTTGCGACATTTCGTCACTAGTTGTTGTCGTTCCACAGGTAGTATATAGGAACCAAGATATACAATCTCTGAATCCCGAGACTGCAGCTCACTGCTTCTTTTGCCTTCCATATTTGCTGAAGCACTCACTCAACATCATCGTTGTAAATCAATCTGGTCAATATGATGCCCCTCCATATGTTAGTACTCGCTTCAAATGTGCTTGCTTTGTAGCAGAAGTGATTTACTTGACTTGCCTAAGGTCGCCAAAGGACCAGTACGAGAGCTGCGCTTTAAACTTCAGAATTTCGACTACCAGTCAGTCAATGGCTCATAACGTTCCAATCACGCCATACATAGGATAAATTTGTATATTCGATCTAGAATTAGGACTAACCAACATTTTATGTTGTCAAAGTTCGCCAATTATAGAGGATGGACCAAATGAATCTTCGATACTTAACTAGTATTAATGTTACAATACGCACGAATATCGCATCCATACTCTGCATCCTCAATGCTTCTGCTTGTTGTCACTTTCTTACAGGCGCGCAATAAACAAAATTCTTCGCGACACTTTAACAGCTATCCATACCTTCCATGACTCCATCAAGAAGGACGTTAATATTGACACGCAGCAATCCAATACAGTGCGTCTCACCCCCTATAAGAGCCTTTAGGGCTACATTCTATTGACCACAACTCCCACAACGTGAAATAAAATTAAGTTTCTCCTCGGTGGGCTGTGCGAGACTCAACATCACATTGTGAGAGGTTCGTTCAAGCGACTCTACGTGGAAACTTAACCTTTCATACCTCGCAGCCAAGAGAGAAGAGAGCACAAGTGTCACGGGGTTTCACGTGTCCTGGTATGAAGGGTGTGGGTCACACAAGATGTTGTGGGTAAGATTGCGATAGAGAAATGTAACGGGGTTGTTGCGCTCTTTGCACAGAAAACGTTTTAGCTCTACGCCTGCTTGGTCGATCTTAGTCCGAGGAGCGATAGTGTAATAGCTACGTAGGCCATGTCCGGGTCTAAATCTCCGTACCCCTTTCCCCGCCAGAATGGATGCCTCGCTGTGGTCATAGACATCGAGGCTTGTCTCAAGATCCAATTTTCTGTGATTGTAAATCCTACGAACTTCAATCACTCTGGGAGCACCTCTCTCATTATGATCGATTAAGTACAAGGCTCAACAAGCCGCCGAGTCGAACGTAGCCTCTGTGACGGACGACTTCAATCGTTATTTAGAAACATGCACGAATTTCTTTGATAGAGCTGTGAAAATGCCTCATCGTGTCCAGACAAACCACTCGCGGCCCCTCCGTAAATACCTCGGCCAAGTTGGCTCTTTGCCAATAGTCGAGACTAGAACTTTCTCGATAGTCACGTGTCTGTGCTTTGTTTTGTTAGAATGTTACACAAACCACAATACAAATATATGATGGTCTGGCCGTGCAAATATCGAATAAACTTCGAGAATAAAATTTATATTATCAAAGTTATACAACACAAAATTGGTAATTTAATTCTGGATTTTTCTAAAGCCTGAACCAAAATTTCATCGGTGATAGACAAGAGAAAAATGACTGACCAAGCGAAATGGCAAGCTCTTATGAAGTGGACGATGAAGCATACAGATGGCACAACGCCGAGTGTCGCTACACCAATCTCGGAGGATAAACGCCGTTTCTTAGAAATGGTCATGAACGAAGGCGTGATTGACGAGACCGAGCGTATCAAAGATATATTGCGTATAATGGAGGGCGAGGACCCGCGTCTTGTGTTTGCTGCCGCGGACGGCACTGTCGCTACTGATAGTGATGATTCATCACCCGAGGAATTAGATCAGTATAAAGACACGTTGCTTGAGGAGCTGCTAACGCGTATCGATCAAATTGACAATGCTCAGAATTTCGTTAAGATGGGTGGTTTACGCGTAATGACAAATGTCATTCAAAAATACACTCAAGCTTCGTCTCGCGCATTAGCAGCCGAGGTATGCTCCATTGTAGTCCAAAATAATCCAATTTGTCAGGATGCAGCTGTAGACTTTGGTCTATTAGAAGTGCTGTGCACTTTAGCTCGCGAGGATAACGATATGACGTGCCGTGTCAAAGCTCTGCTTGCCATTTCATGTCTCGTCCGTCACCATAATGCCGCAGAGAAGAGATTTCTTGGAGAAATCTGCAAAGGCCTTGATCTTTTGCGTCAGAATCTCGAAAATGCCACGGATATCCGGCTCCAACGTAAATCATTGTTCTTTTTGCGCTATTTGATGCGCAACAATCGCGCTACAGCAGATCAAGTGTTACAAATGGATTTTTTTGTCCAGTCCGTTGCAGCGTTTATTAATCTTAAGGATATTGATTTGTGCGAGAGCGCCGTGGAAGGATTGGCAGAGTTTGCTCTGGTTGGTCCTGACTATGTAGCAAAATGTAAGAAATCCGAGTATGGTCTCATTGCGAAATGCAAAGAGTGTATCGAGCAGATTGAAGCACTTGAGGGTGAGGACAAGGAGATAGCACAAGAGACCAAAGACCGAGTGCAACACTTGATAAAACTATTAACTGATAACTGAGAATAGAAATAGACCTTTTGTATTCATTTCAAGTGATTAAAGTAGGTACGTTTAAGCTTTTGAGAAACATAGACAATGGATTTGAAACAGCCAGCGGTAGCGATACCCTTAATACTTTGCGAGCGACTTGAACGGAATACAATAGATGCAATGACACGTTGCAATTGCTTTTTAGTGATAGTCCGAGAGTCAATTCCTCTTCTCTTGCGCGATTTAATTGCTAGACGCTCGAGCACATTAGATGGAAGTGCGTCCAATATTGTTTGTCTAACTTTTAAATCACTGTTATGAGCAAGCAAAGTGTTACTGTCAGTGATTGAACGCATGATAAACGGAGAATTCTATAGTGACATCACACTCATTAAGCCATCAGTAAAGCATTAATCAAATCATTTTTCTTACTCGAATGTGGTGCTGATATAGTTTCTGAAACATTTGTAGATTGCCGTCCACAATATTGCGCACTTTTTTAGGATTTTCACCAAATACCATTCGAAAATCACCCAAATATGAAATTCCTGCAATTTTCTATTTACATAAAGTTAAGATAATAATTTCACGTTGACCCTTATATACATCCTCACCATGTATAGATCGTGTTCTGAGAATTTCTCGGGTAAGCACAACAATGCATAGTTAAGTGCATGCGATAGATTTATCGAGCTTGCCGTTTTAATCAACTCATTTGTCACAAGAATACTGACCTACAGCAACTTCAGTCATAAGTTCTTGAAAATCGTAAGCTCGAGGATACATCATACATTACAAACGTACAGGTTTGTGCATTCTACCACTAAGATACAACGTCTTCCACGATTGCAAGTCCTGGCACAATGCCTGAGAACTTATGACGCCATACTTGACAAGGCGTGTACCCAGCAATTTACCCGTCAATGGAACCTATGCAGGTCAACGACATTGTTATCGCTCACTAGTAGTAAACAAAACAATTCATTATACATACAAGCGTATTATAATACAAACCAGCGCCGAAATTCTCTTGAAAAGCAGCAATATTGGCTGCACCTAGATACCGAAGCATAGAGTAATGCTTGGGATTACGCTCAATGTTTTGTTTGTGCCAATCTTGTGCATCATCGACGGCGAATACTAAATCAATCATAGAAGCACTAGCATTGTGATTCTTTTGTTGAAAAACGCTTGAGCCATATGCCATAGCAAAGGCCACATGCGGGAAAGACGCATCCACTGCTTCCGTTAGCGCTGCCGCCAGATTCATACTAGCCATTGGAAGTTATTGAACATTTCTGAATATATATATAAATTCTGACAAGTCGTCAGCTATGATAAGGTAATTATAGGAATGCGGCGAGCTGCGGCGTGGGTGGCGGCATTAGCATATGGTGAAGTTGAAAGTATAACTCAGTGCAATACTTCTGCTGGAACAGTGTCAAACTACACAATGTTAAGTACAATTGCAGCTGTTGAGATTGAGTATGCAAACTGCAGCACGGAAATCGTAAGAGGTTTTGAAACTGGTGACGGAATGACGCAGTTGGACCTTAGTAATAAGGACATCGTTTACGTTCAGAGTCTACCGTCTGTTATTCATGTGTAAGTGGATTTGCATTTGAATGGTGCATGTCGGTCTAAGAACATGTGATTATGATAGTAATCTCACAAACAACAACATATCTCAATTAGAAAATGTTGTTCTTCCAACGACAGTTCAAACGGTGTACGTTCGTATTTTCTTGTTTAATGTAGATTAGAATTGAAATGACTTCTTCTTTGCTTGATTACCAGTGATTTATCTGAGAATACGTTTACAGCTTTTCAAAATTTCTCGTTTCCGAAAAATCTTTCGAAGCTGTAAGTGCCTCTAGTTTACTTTTGATACAACAATTTCTTCCTAAGAATCATTCATAATGCAGTAACGTATCTAATGGAAAACTGACGAGCTTATACAAATTCACCTTCTCGGATACAATTACGACACTCACTATGCTTCGTAATCCAATCGCATTCATTAGTGGCGTCGTTTTTCCTCGCTCTTTGAAAATGCTTTCGATTACGTCAACCGTTAAGCTGACGGAATTTGAAGTACGGCAAACCGACGCAATCTTGTTTGAAAGTCTTGAGACATTTAACGTTTCAAAGACGACTAGCTTGGTATGCTCTGATAGCGAAGCACTGTTTCGATACGTGCAGGACACATTGTTATGTGTGCTTCCAGACAATGTGTTTGACGCGAAGTTTGGAATTAAAGGGGACTGCAATACTAGCGACTTAAATAGAATCCCTCCGTCTTCATCCGTTCCGGAACTAATGGAAGCTGATAGCCCACGTCGTTCAAACTTTTTACTTTTCGCAGCAATTTCGCTGTCAATAGCTTGTGCTGGACTTATGAGCACACTCGCGCCACGCACGCTGTACGAACGCTATCGCAAGAAGAAAAACAAAAACATCTTAAACCGAAAATCTCAAATAAAGCAGCAACAACAACAGGTGCAATCTCTTTCTACAAATCAAACGCAAGACCAAGGCGTAGCATATTGGGACCTTTAAAGTAAGTGTATCATTGGTAAGAGATCTCACACGTCGCAGATTCATTTTAAATTTCGTACTTAACATATATTTGAATTATCCAATACTTAAAATGATACGTGGCACTCTCGGAGCGACGGCAGTAGACAAATTAACAGTAAAAGAAACACAACAATGGTAAGACTCGAATGGATATCTTTTCACTCGTATTGCTCGTCTCTCATCATACCTTTCTATTTCAATAACAACTTCACAGGCTGCAGGATCGAATGGTGCGTTAACAGGCAAAAAACCCGCTCCAACTGCGTCCGCTGAAGGTGCAGCAGCTAGCGGCTTGCGCAACCGACGCCCAGTAGCTTCGGCTCGCTCTGGACAAAACACAGGCCGAGGAATGGGTGGAAGCTCAGCTGGAATATTGCGTTTCTATACGGACGACTCTCCGGGCCTAAAGATTGGTCCGACAGCGGTATTGGTGAGCTGCCTCATGTTTGTGGGTTTTGTCGTACTACTACACGTCTGGGGCAAGTTTCGTGGATAGAGCATTCACTGCTATTGACAAGAGTAAAGCACTTGAGATACACCGCCAGAAACGTTGTCAAACTACTTCGGTCAAAAGTGGTGTACTATATTTTAGGATAGGAGCTTGTGTGCAATTTTTAAGCATTGGAGCTTACAGAGAGTGATGCAAGGAAGTGTTCGAAGTGTTGGTGTCATTTGCAGATGAAAGGTTGAACCTTTCTTAAGATTTTAAATATGATATCATCCTGGCGGAAGGTGAACGCAAAATGGTACAATCGACGCTTTGAAACCAATTGTCTATCGTATATTTAGACCATTTCACCAATTGAGCGCTTGCGCTTCTTCTTGTGCGTTTCCTTGGAACTTTTACTGATCTTCTTTTCAAGATTTTCACCATTTGCTACCTTTAGATCTGCCTGAATACTATTTTGGGTCACGAATGGAACACCTGCAGCTATCAATACATTCTTCATCAGACTCTTGATAGCTGGTGACTTGGTATCCATAGCCTGCACTGCTGCTACCACATCTTGAACGTCCGATTCCGTTGCTTTTTGATTCTTTGGAAGGCGCCAAAACTTGATTAGTTGCAGTGCAAACGTCAAAACAACTTTCAAACGCTTCGCTTTCAGTTGATGCACACTTTCAGGAGCAAATTGCCTCACTAATGCCGTTTTAAACGATTTCTGTACATGTTCAATCGTATCTTGCTGAGCTTTAGGTACATCTTCACTTTGATGGACTTTCGTTATGCCACGAAGCAGGAATGTCAACAGTCGAAAGACTTCACACTTCGAGAATTCGTCCACTGCTGGTCGCACCTCTTTCTCATCAGCATTATCCTTTTCTGTAGCTGCAGCAACAGCAGCAAGAGGCTCTAAAAGCACACGTGCACCAATGGCTGGGCATTTGTTTACCAATTCCTCAAACGCTGCACGTGGAAACCGCGAGTGTTTTTTTGTAAATGCATCCAAAACTGCAGTACGGAGAAGTCCTTGAACAGCCTCGTCCGCTTCACCTGTGCAAATGACACGAACGAGGTACACGACGGCAGCTGATGCTACTTTTCCACTGTAATTTTTGTCCATTGGTCTGGTTCGAATGAGCTCAATAAGCTGACGAAGAGCATTCAGTGCTTCAGTCTGAGCTTCAACACTCGATGGAATCTTGTCTTTCACACGAAGGATCTTGTTGAGTAGTACAGCTAGAAGACGATCACGAAGTACGAGCTGTTTTTCGTCAGCCGTCTGTACACGCGCTAGAGCACTAAAGAGCGGCACGATCAGCGAAATCACCAATGTATTGTGTTTCGTGATCGCAGCTTCAGTCTGTTCTGGACGCTTAGAGACAAATACTTGCAACAGGTCGACAACACGCAGCTGAAAATGCATTGTCTGTAAGCGGGCAAGCTTTTGCTCCTTCTTTCGCTGTGACCGAACCTTTACCTGACCAACAATTGCAGCAAGTGCCAAATCTTCCTGATGAAGAGCCGAGAGTTTCTTATCGTTTCGAAGCGCGTCTGACAAAGCATCAGACGAAGACAACATCACTTCATCTTCTTCCTCTTCTTCTTCGTCCTCTCCAGGAGTGATAGGCGCGAACTCGTCGTCGTCCTCCTCAATACCTTCTTCAGACGGTGGCTGCAGTACATTGATCATAGTCGTAAGGCATTTGCTGTTCAATAATGGTACAAGCGACCGAAAAGCTTGCGACACGATCTCACGCAGTGCACTTGAATTTTGCGACAGCAGACTCAACAGGAGATCGGTCAGTACCACTACGGATTCCATTTCGATCTCTTCCGTTTTCGCATTTTTCTTGTTCTTTTTTTTCAACGAAGACTTTTCCTTTGATGCTTCAAGCTGTGCGTAGCAACTTTCTAAATCACTTGCGACAACTAAAGCATCTTTGCGCTGTTCGGCGTCCAAGAGCTGAAGGCCAGTGCTCATGAACAGTAAGAGAAACGCTTCGCAGAGAGGTCGACGTACTGCTGTCTGTGCAGTCTTCTCTTCCTCTTCTACCTTCTTCATTTCCTTGCATCGTAGCGCATCAACACAGTTGACAAGTTTACTCAACTGCGCTGAGGTTTCTTTACTAAGAGGTTCACGCAACATCATAATCCCACAGGAATGTTGCATTTCTTGTGCAAAAGCGAAGATCCGGCTCAGCACACTTGCGCTGGGACGAGCACCATCCGCACCTGTCAGACCCAAACTTAAAAGGGCATACAATCGCATTTTGATGTAATTTACTACGGATTTTGAAAGACCAGGCGTGATAGCAGCTGCATTCTGAGCGACATCATCCAATTCAGAGATTTTCTTCTTCTTTGCCTTCTTACTCTTCTTCTTTATTTCCGTCTCGCTTGACAGTGTAAAGAATGAATGGAACACCAAAAACCGAAAAACATCGTCTTGCACGTGAGCGGTTTTTCCATTCGCGTCACCCTTCATATTTAATAGCTCTAACAGAGCAGTAACCATTAAATCCACTGCCCACACACGAGCTCGATCAGTACGTCGCTTCATTGCTTCCTCGCGCTCTCTCTTTTCCTCTAATTCAAGCAACGCATCGAAGCCTTCAGCACTTCGTTTCTGCTTTTTCATAGGCTCTTCATCTTCGTCATCGCTATCAAATGAAGTCGAGCTCACTAATTTCGATAGAGGCGATGTAAATTGCTCGCGAATAAAGTGGAAAAATTCGCCTGGTGCACACTTGGCAAAGGTTTTGAGACAATGACGCGCAGCTTCATACAAATAATTTCGTTTCAAAACACTGTTGTTGTAAAGGCACTTGACAAAACGTGGAGTTAGGATAGTACTTAGAATAGACGTTGGAAGCTTCAAAACCAGAAGCTCAAACAATTTAAATGCGAGACCCTGACGTTCATGACTAGTAGGAGCGTTGTCTTCAACACTGCTACTACCAACAAGCGAGTTTTCAACCAGGACAGTCCAAGCTTCCTTTACATATTCTTCGTCAATTTCAATCGATACACCCTCATCCATATTCAACACTTGATCAAACACTCTAATCCACGCCAAGTGTACTCTCGGGTAGCACCCCGATGTTCCTCTCAATGGTTGTGCTAAAACATGTACATTGCGTCGTTCTACTGCGTTTCGAGCCTTAAAATCAATCGGCAATAGTTTCATCTGTTCTTCATCTTGGTCAAGGCCTGTCATTTGCATATAGCGCTGAACACCAACAGCCAGCAGGACTTGATCAGCATTCCAGATCTCACTTCGATCTTCCTTATTAATTTTGACAGGCTTAACTTCCAGAGCTTTGTGAATCGGTGCGACTAATTCCGTCATAAACTCCTTAATTGGAACATCAACTAGCAGCGTCAGCACCGCGTCATAACATGCCTCGCGGAACCAACGCTTAAAAGTAGCCATTTCCAGCAATTCCTTTATTATTGTTACAAGAAGAGGCAAATTAGTTGGCAAGCGACCGGAACGGTGCAATGCTAATAGGCCAAATAGACGCCCAAACATGTGTTCACGCTGTTCCATTGGTTTCATTGACGAGTGCACTTCCATCGCCTCACATAGCAAATCGTATGTGGTTTGTAAATCAAGCTGTAATGAAAAGACAGTGAGGAGAGCACTAAGTGCTGCACTAAAACCCTGGCGAGCAGCATCACGTGACGACGCCAGACCGCGCACGAGCCGCTTTAGTGTATATTGCACCTCAGTCTCTTGCTTATCACTGCTCTGCAAGTATGAAATGAGCTGCAATGCTGCCTGCGTACGTACGTTTCGTTCACTTTCTGCTAACGTATAAAAGAGCTTCAGAAAGTCGCCCTTGTGGGAAGTCAATGAGTCATTGCCATCTTGCTGCTTCCCAGCCATGTCTATAGAGCAATTATGAATGGCTGGTTGTAGGTAGTGCGAAGGTATTAATTAGCAGCTAAGGATTGATATTCTCTAAAATATTATATATAGCATTTTGCATGAAAATTAGTTGATATTTTTTTGAGTTTGAGCAGATAAGGATGACGCTGAATTGTGCGCCTCCGAGTGTAGATAGAAAGAGTAGTACCGCTTTCTAACAAATCGAGTTCTAGATATTTAATAGTCTTGATGCACTGATTGAGCAATAGCAATACTCTTCGATCGTGGTGGAGCAAGACGTGGTTTCAGCAAAAAGTAAAGGGTCTTCAAGAGGGCATTAATTGACAACCTGAACGATTCACGACAATACTTACTCGTTAATTTTTTTAAGCTGCTATTAAGAATAGATAATGCATCCCTGAAGATGCGAAGAAACCAAAAAATCCTACCATTATACTCGCCAACTAATCTACCACGCGCAATAGTTTTATGAGAGCTGGAAGATGTCAGCGTAGAAAAGTCTCCGATTGGAATCGTTATCAACTCAGGCAGTGGCGCAGCAGCGACAGAAAATGTAGAATCAAAGGATGCTCAACTAGAAGAGATTGTACAGTAGCTTGTAAATTGTCACTATTATGTATCGAGATAACGCTGGAGTACGCGAGAGGACATGCTCGCTCGGACAAAGCTCTAGCTTTCTTGGTTACCACAGGAGCCAGTAGTACAGACGAAAGATCAGCAAACAGCTATCATGAAGCGATTCTCCTCCTGATACGACTTGAATTATAGATTGTCGCACCTAGATTACATAACCTGACTAAGAGAAAGATGAACCGCAACATCATCATAAAACAGAATCAATTTCTACAAAAGTGTGCATCAGTCTGCTTGCTGCTGACTAGATTGAAAGCGAGTCAAAACATTGAGTGTGATGCTTTTGTTAGGAACTCACGGGGATTTTGACGACGTACCACACCGTGACAAATCTTTTCTGGTCGGCATGGATCAAGTCGCAATTATCATGCGACACATCAGCGCCTCCAACACCGCCTTCACGTTGACGGACATGATGGTATCGGCCAGTAATTTTCTGATACAGCTTTCCTATGCAGCAACACGACAGCCGGCTTACGATGATATCAGCGAGCTTACCACGAGAAAGCTGGTCATTATAGATAGTTGCTAGCCAGTTGCCAAAGACGTCCGAGGCTGCATGGTAGAATCTTGTGGTCGAGCCATCATGGCTGGTGCCGATGATGCCTTCATGTGCTGGATTGCGCCTGCCCAACTCGCGTCAATCAAGTCTGCGTCGAGTAGCAAGCGATCGCCCTTCGAGTCTAAGCGTGTGATCGAGTCGAGAAGCATTCGCTGTATGACTTCGTCTGGTGGTAAAACTGTTTCAAACTGAATGCCTGGGTAATCCATCCCTGACCCACTGTGATCCAGAAAGCGTGGCGAGGTCTCGTGCGATTCGTCGAGACACTTGCATCTAATGTCCCGACTTCTTCGACAAAGATCTTGCGCTTGCTCGTGTCCAGCAGATGGAAGAAGTGCGACGGCGAACGCTCGGAGCTGGCTACGTGGAAGTCGAGCGCAATATCTTGATGATTCTGGAACGTTTGCAAGACCGTCTCCTTGTAGTGTCGCATGGCTTCGTCGAAGAGCTTGCAGTCGCCTTCGTTTGACGACATACAGTTTCGAGCAGCAGCTTTATTCAGCGCAGCGGAGTTTGTCACGCATCTGGTCGGCTTCCTTCTCGATTGCAACGATAACCCTTCGGTAATCGAGCAAATATCTCGAAAACTTCCAGTAGCCAAGACCGAGAAGCGGGGTACCAGAGCTGAGCGTCATGCTGTGCACGAGGTGGTCACAGCCTGCCTTGATAAAAAAAACTCATGAACAAGCCGTAGTAGCGGTTGCAAACACCTCAGATTTCGGCACGTAGTCTAGTCGTTTATTTCGTCGAAGCAAACCGGTGCACACGCGCTTTATGTCGTGATGTATTTGCCATACATAAACAACACCGGGCAGCTTAGGCAGCTGGAAGGACTCGGATCGTAGTACAAGTCAGCGTGAAGCGGTGGAGATGTGGATCAAGCGGCGTAATCAAGGGGCCGCGCAAAAAATGCGTCGCATCGTCCTCAAACTTGCCGGTCTCCAAGCGCGCATAAACCGCTGCTTCTGGCGATTGATGGTCGCGTTGATGCTGTGATTGTAAATGGAAACAAGCTCGACCGTTCCGTTTACAGCGCGATATCGTACGGGAACAGACAAGCGTAAAAGGTCGACAGTCGAGTCAGAATCGGGGAAATTGGAGTGC